GAGAGTGGGATCGAGAACTGGGAGCTCTCTTTCACAGGTGTTTCACTGGAGGAGGTGACCAGTGGAGACGGAAGTGGCCCCGGGAAACCCTGGCAACCTTTGCACAGGGCACGTCCGGTGTAGAGGGCACAGCGTGAAAGCCGACCTGCCACCCCTTCAACCCGCAGGAGGAGCTCGACCAGGAGGTGGAGGACGAGAAGATCAAGCACATCAATCGCGGCTTCGACATCTCCGGCTACTCTACCTCACAGCTCAGGAACTTAGGTTCGGAGGCAGCTTCGGCAGTTCTCAAAGGCCGCCCTCGTCCCAGGCTTTCTCGGCTTGAAGTTTCGGCAAGCGCACACGAGCGTTATCGTCCAGCAAAGTGTGCATTTTCAGTACCTGTACCTCTCTCGTGCAACGCTGCGACCGCGCGGGAGGAAGAAACGGAGTGAATTTGTCTGAAGTATGCAGGCACACCTCCCATAGGTGAGCCGGGTGCGCTGACACACATGAAGCAACCCGATCAATTCATGATCGATGGGTACACCATCACCCACAGCCACCGAAGAATACGACAACACAGGCAAGCCCACACAGACCTTCACAGGAGTCTCCTTATAATCACAGCCCCACACCTCACACCCACCATCACAAGCCTCACTTGCATCGATGGCAGATTTCTTCGGTTCGTTACCGTCGGTCGAAGCACCACTTAGCATACTGGCGGTTTACGCCCCGCGAACAGCAATGCCGGGACCAGTTCTGGCAAGTGCTCGCCTCACAGCTCTCCACGTGCAGAGAGCGCGCTCCGCTTTCGTTGGTTGGCGATTTCAACGCGCTAGCTCTTGCCGAGCTTGCAGCAATCCCGCCACCGGTCCGCACTTCGTCCCAAGCAAAACGGCTGAGGACGATGAGCCAGATGACACAGAGAAAGGCGACACCAACCAGCGACAGTTCCGCGACCTCCTGGCCTCACAGGACTACTGTCTCCCACAGAGCTGGATGGAAAAAGCACCCCAAAACAGACACACTCACAAAAGACCCAATGGGGATCTGGTTCAGCTCGACCACGCCATCATACACCAAGACTGGCGCAACATCATCCACGACGTCCACACCATCCCGGGAGCAGCCCTCAACAACAACCACTATTTGGTCAAAGTCGAGTTGCAGCCCCGCACCGAAGAGACCAAGCACACGCCCCCCCAGCTACGACACACCAGAACCCCCACAGACACACAGAAGCAAGACAATACAACAACCACATCAAGCAGCACATGGACACCACCACCCCCACCACAGACTGCTCACAGCCTCCAGCACAGCTACCCCTTCAATCACAGCCACGCGGGCGGTGGCAAAACCTCCAAGCAGCGACCACAGATGCCATCAAAGACCACATCCCCACTACCGCATCCTTCCCCAAGTGCCCATGGATCACGCAAGCTACATGTTAGCTCATACAGCAAAGATCCACAGCACGCTTCCCAGCAAGCCCACAAGGACAAAACACAGTGGCTGAAGGAGCGATTGGCAGGCCGAAATTGGAAGTGGATCAACAGAATTCTTTCCTACCAGCCTCTCACGGCAAGCCCAAACCTTCGCAGAATACCTGCGAGATCACATTGGGCAGCACCACCAACACGTTACACAGGCCCCATCGACCCAATACACCTGGCTGCAGCAGTGGACCTCACACCTATCACCACGGCAGAGCTCAAAGCAGCACTGACAGAGCTAGCGCACAACAAAGCACCAGGTCCCGACAGCATTCCTGCAGAAGCATGGCAGTGGTTAGACGACCACAACCAAGACGTCCTCAACCACGCCCTGCTCACAGCCACCATCCCGGATGACTGGCACCAAGCAATGGTGGTCGAAATCTGCAAAGGCAAAGGACCATTCAGAGACCCTGCTAGCTACCGCCCCATCTCACTTTTGAACACCTCATACAAACTTTTCGCCAAGGTCATTCACACCAGACTCCAAGCAGCCCGGACGACAGGCTCAGGGAAACCCAATACGGGTTCAGAGCAGCACGCTCAACATCCCAGCCAATCCACATAAATCGACGTCTCATAGAACGAGCGGAAGCCACGGGACAATCACTTTGCATTATCTTGCTCGACTGGGAGAAAGAATTCGGCAAGATACACCCAGACGCCCTCCTCACAGCGTTGTCACGCTATGTCGTCCCTCCACACCTCACAGCCCTCATTAAAACCATCTACGCATCACCACAGTTCACAGTGGCAGCAGCAGGGAAGCCAAGCACCAGCGAGGAAGCCTGCGCCGGCATTCGTCAAGGCTGCCCACTATCACCATACCTTTTGCTCAAAGTTCACGGTATGGTGATGCACGACGTGGACCAGGAGCTCACAACCCACGGCGAGTTTCTCCCTTGCTTGTACAGCCAAAACCAGCCCGTCTACGACTTCGCGTACGCTGACGACACAGCACTCATTGCAGGCACAGCCCGAAGAGCAGAACAGCTCCGCGTCCTTCAGCGGGTTGCCGCTCACCGCGAAAGCGCGCAACCACGTTCACTCACTACACCACTTCTGGCGCAACATCTCTTCACATTGAAGTGGAAGTTACGCATATACACTGCGGTCTTCATTCCGCTCGTGTTCCGGCTGGAATCACCAGTGCTCACAAAAAGAGACTACAACAGATTGGAAGCATTCCACTCACAGAGCCTGAGGAAGATACTCCACTTCAAAAGCATATACTACACAGACGTGCTTAACCCCACAGCCCGAACATACACCATCCAAGTGGCGAGAACGCTCACCTCACAGCCTCCCCTCACACACCACATCCACAAAGCACAGCTGAAACTTTTCGGGCACGTTTTTCGATCCCCTCCGAATAGTATAGAACGGAACTGCTGTTTTGCTAGTTGTTTTCAGTACAGAGGTGGTGCGGTAGGTGCAGGCCAAGGCCAGGCAGGAGGAGAGTCCATTGGACAGAACAGTGCACTAAGCTTCCTTGGCACTGGCTTTTGCAATCCTCTAGACCCCCTGTCACTCACAGCACTACCTTCCCATACTCATAGTCATATCTACAAGCTCACAAAATAACTGTAGACCGCCGTTTTTGGAGTACCCTGGCGATGTTGCCAACGTGCAAGACACTACCAGAAGCACACTCCTACGCAGCCTTCTCACAGCCATGAGTTTTCTGCGGAGTTGCTGCTGAGCGAGTTGCATAGTGCCGCCCAACAGAAACGAGTGCTGTGGGGACTGCACTCGAGGACGGCAGCTCAGAATGTCTCCCAACCGCTGGAGGCACAGCTTCTCTTGCCTGTCTTGCAGTTTAGAGCCCGGACCAGCAAGCAAGGGAGCCAAAAAGGAATGCGCACCTCTGTATTTGGTATGATTTGGAAGGACGAACTCGAATCCGAAGCCCGGGCCAGAGCCCCTTGAAACTATTCACCCGGCCTTAAACGATCCAAGCGCCCGGCCATGCACGGCATGCAAAGAGAGCGCATTCTGAGCCTTGTGCCTGCAAAGACAGGAATGTGCAGAGTCAGGCAGTCGACCACGACAGACCAAATTCTTAGATGTTTTAGTTTGTACCTGCTTGCACAACCCACACGGCTGCGGTTTGCACAGGCCACTGGTCTGTGTCCGGCTGCGATGGTGGTGTCCAATGCCCGATTGTCACCAACTTTGGCCCGGATGGTGCAGAGATCAGCTCCTGGATAATCGATTTTTCAGTTTGTCTTGCTGTTTGGACCTGTTGGTGATATTACCACGGCTCGGTTTGTCGCGAAACGAACAACTTAGCTAGCATAACCCTGTCACCACGAAGCTCGTAAGGACTGTCTGTTTGTTAACGTGAGGTTGCACGTGTTTGGATGTTTCACATTCTCCCCCGTGTTTTGAATTTGCATACTTGAGGTATTACCCAGCCCCCATTACAAGCTCGACTCTGCAAGTAAAGTGAACACAGCTCCGACTTGCTCGCGATTTTGTGCAGATGGTTCGCATCGTCATGCATTGAATCGCGGCACAGCTGCAACTTGCACGCCCAGCCATCCCGAAGTCAGGGATACGGAAAACGAAACAGTGACAGCAATTCAGGAGTGCTTTTAGGACTCATTGGGCTTTTCGTGGGCTTGCGGGGAACAGCGCAATGCATTCCCAGCGAGACGAAGGTCAGTCGCCTCCCAGCCGTGAGTGTGCCAACAGCATCCGGGAGTGCCCATGTGGGCACGAAGCCAAGTGGTGCGAATCCCTTGGCTGCATCTTCAAGGCTCGGACACATTCTCAACATGTTCCTCCGTCTGCGGTCTGCGTGGGTAGAAGTCGCAGCGCCCTCTTCCGGCTGCAGGATGCCGATTGCCCAGTGCTGTGCACACATCAACAAAAACTTTGCTCCCTGGTGGACTACACTTCTGAGGGACTCTTCGTCAGTGCCTGATCCGGATTATGATCTATTGGGGCCTCACGCACTCTCCCAGTTTTGCGCTGCCTCAATTTCTTGGATTGCTCGGTAACTGAGGCTATCGGAACATCTGCATGGAAGCAAGCATGCAGTGCCCTTGCGGTCTGAACACCTGGCGCTGCCCGGGGTCTGACTTGTGTTTGCTACCGCAACTTGTCCTGATTGGCAGAAGGTATTGTTCACTTTTGGGATGTGCAGTCCAGGTTTCAGCTGGCAATCTGCCCTTGTTCTTCTTGGTTTCTTGTTTGCAATGGAGCGCTATTGACTTCAGCAATGGAGAACCAGACGCTTTGCATAGGCAGAAGGCTTGCGAGATCACTGACTACAGTGACACAGGTGGCCGGCGTGCTTTCATGTCCGCAGCGCACCGACAACAGTCCTGTGTTGACTTTTGCAGGGATACCGGAGTCTCACGCGGTGGTGTTCTGCATCGATCCGGAGCTGAGATGCCCCTGTGGCAAAAATGCGCTACCCACTTCAACTCAGAGCTGTGCGCAGCAGTGAGACGGCCGCGCTTTGCTGCCGGGAAGGGTAAGCTGGTCTTGAGGTTGTCATGTCCGGATCCCATGGTTGCGAGCTCAGGGCTAGACGCAAGTGGTGGTAGTCTCAGCTGTTGAACGGGGCACTTGGGCAGAACAGCCGGGTTCATGTTGAGAGACGAGGATGCGCGTCACACAATCTGCATTCCCAAAGCCAGCGGAGACTTGGACTGAAACTGCATTTATCACGGTAGCGGCTTGGTGACTCGATGCTCCCGCTATGAATGACGGGCGGCGCAGACGAGGCGGCGTGGCTAATGATAATGAGTGCCCACGGCCGTGCTCCAGTAACCAGCTACGTGCTGGCAATGAAACCTGCACGCAGATGCCCGGATTCAATGAGCATGCGTGTGCATGCCATGCCAGTCTTGCTGTGCGCCGGGCTCAGGATCTTTCTTTGGGGCTCGGATTCCTACGTCTTCAAGAGAACGAGTCACCTGGCTTGACTGAGTGCCAGGAAACATGCAAGGGTCTTGGTGCTGAGGCTGCCGCGCGCCTGGAGACTGTGAACCTGGCTTGAACACCAAGGCTTGTGTCGGCCTCAGCGGACAATCTGCTTGCTTGATTGGAGTGCTGCTCTTCACAGGGCTTGTGCTTCGAGGTCCGTCTGGTGCCTTCCTGCCGGTGTGGCGGCAGTGCCCTCTGGGCCAAGCCTGGGAAGGCACCGGAACGGGGCAACGCATATTTGAGATTGCGAAGGTGTAACTTGGACTGCAGCAGGAAGGAACATGAAAACGAAGGCACATTTCATCGGCTTGTAGTGTTTGTTGGCCACATTCCAGCTCAGGTTTGGCAGCTGAAGGAGTCTGAGCCCAAGTGAAGTCACGATCGGGATGCATCCATGCAGTGCTCGCAGCCGTCAATCGCGAAAGCTAGCTCCTTGGAGCTTGCAGGGCCCCTTTTGTTCGGTATATCAAGGACTTAGAGGTGCTGGGGGGGACCACCCCCCGTCCCCCTTTTGCTGGTCCATCGGCATTGCAGCATGCTCACCCACGTGCGCGCGTCGCGTCGAAACGTGCACCACGGTAGGCTCCTCAACCTCCGCCATCCTCCCCTCACGCCGTCCTGCCCTGCACGCAAGCCCGCCGAACAACCTATCGCTTTTCTGCTGGCTTATCCCTCGGCGTTTCTGCTTCTTGCCTCTAGCTTTCGTCCGCCCTGCTCTCAAGTTGGCACTTGACCCAGGCTTTCTCCGAATTGGGCGGGCTCTTTGACGACGGTGCGCGCCACTTATTTGTGTGCACTTTTCCATATGTTTTTTCTCGTCGAATGATCCCGGAATCGTGAAGCCCGGGCTTCGTTAGAATCGGCTCTTCCTGCTCGCGTCGCGGGCAGCTCTAGTGTTCAGTTTGCTTTGCGAAAGAAACCCCCACAGCCTTGGCAGGCAAGTGTGCTTCTCCAGTTTGCCGTCGCCATCCCCAGCACGAGACTTGTTCACGGTTTGGCAGCGCTCTGTTTCAGGAGGAGGCTGACCTTTGTTCAACAGACCGCGGATCTGCTCTGGTAGAGAGGGGTGACTTGATAACTGATAAACCCTGATCCCAGGATGGAGACGACTTTAGTGCTCCTGCCAGAAGCGGTCCTGATGTGACTTGACTTCATCTGCCTTTCTCTGAGCGAGATGATTGGCCGTGCATTCTCGACTTGCAGTCCTTGTGCTCAGGTTTCAGATCGTGGGTGAAGGCCCGGGCAAAGCTAGGGCTGATGCCCTTCGATGCGCACTGACTGCGTGTCATTCGCCGACCCTGCCAGGACAGACCGAAGTGGGACGCCGTCTGCAATCAGGCTTGGAAATCTATCACGGGCTTGGTTGTCACACATGCTTTTCGTCGCCATCCTTGTCTGTGCAATGGGCTATCGGAGAGGAGTGAGCAGTCTGCTTAAGCGACCTCCCTTGTGAGGTTCTGTTCCGTATGGCCCGAAGGAGTTCGCTGCAATCCTCCGGATGTAGGCGCTGAAGTGAGGGGATAGCATAGCCTTTATACCTCTCAGTTGAGAATGTTGAGAGCATTTCGAAGGTGCAGCAGGGCAACCACTATGCGACGCAAGCCATCAAATTGATTGGTGTACTGGACAATCGAGTCCTGCTCTTAAGCTCCTGCACTGCTAACAGTACACTATGTGCATTTTCTGTGGCTGTGGCGGATGTTCCTCGCAGGAACTGGATTGCCGTCTGCTGACAGAAGTCCTGAGCGATTTACGTCAAAAGGCTGCTAGATTTTCCTGCGATGAGGTCAGCGCCAGCCTCGAGACCACCAGAACCACCATCCAGCTCGGTGGTGGCGAGGCCAATAGCGGCAGGGGGGTAAAGGCGAGGGAGCTTGCCTCACAGCAGCAGCATCGGGCTTCAAGCTATGCCAATGTGACACCAATGTGAAACCAAAACACACTCTACGTTGCCGCATCTGTGTCGTGTGCTTTGCAGCTTATGTGCTGGAACTCGAATGCAAGTTGCAGACGACATCCTGGCTTGATGCTGCGTCGACCAGTAGCCTCCCGCTTATCACTGACGAGAAGGCGCACGATGCGGACGTTTCCTGTTTTTCCTCACTGGTCCCAGAGATGATTCACTGATTACAGGGCAAGCTTGAGTCCGACTGTCAACGAATTATGGGAACTTGTAGTCGCTCGTGTTTGACTTCGGATGCAGGCGACATCGGACGGCACCGTCTTTGTGATGTTGTTTGCTGCAGCGCCTGTTGTGCTGCGACTTGGCACGGCACGAAGTTGCTTCTGAAGCTCTGAAGGGCCGCTGAACGGCTTGAGCTTCTGCCCGAGGTGTTGCTGCTTCTTTCTGTCAACTGTCTGCTTCACCTTCGTTCGAAGGGCGTCCAAGACACGCGCACCGACCCCAGATGACGCGCGAGGGGTGGTACCTTGCAGCACATGCTTTCCAAGTCCTTTTTTCGTCAACGGCCAGCGGGACGCCCCCTCCAGGTCCCTTCCAAGTTTAGTTGGGTGGGCCGGGGTGCGGTCAAGGATTGTGGCTAGATGTCTCCTACTGCACTCTCCAGCATACTGCGGCTTCAGAATGTTTTCGAGCAGTGAGGTTCATGCCGAGCAAGCGAGGTGCCCTTCCGAGGACACAGTAGCACGGAGGTGTTGGGTGTCTGTGATTGTGTTCCCGGACATGCGGATCAACACTTCTGAGGTGTTTTGGTCTTCCGGCCTATGAGTCACTGCTGTGCATTGCTGCGATGTTGCTTGTTCTGTCGGCCTCACGCCCCAAGACTGCTTTGGCCCAAATAACCTGTTGTTGTCACGAAGACTGACCTCGATGGCAAAAGTGGGAAATCGATGACTCAACGTCCTCATAGTTTAAGACAGCGATACTTTGTCGGCTTTCTCCGGAGCAACCGCTTTGTGAGAGCTTTCGCAGTTACTGGTAGCATCTTATCGCAGTTCTGCTCGGTCCTTCGGCGCGTGGTCGCTGATTTTTAAGAGTAAAAAAATCATGATTCGTAAAAGCCTGCCAAGACTTGTAAAAAACCCTGGAGCGAAAAGAGAGTCAGCGTTGTCTTTCATGTACTCGGATCCGCAAAGGCTGAACCGAACTCGTTCGATTTTGCTTAGTTGGAAGTGCAGTCAAGCGCTGCATGTTCCTTTCGTTCCTGGGGAATGCACATTCGCCACATGGGAGACGGTTTCGACTTGAAGCTTTGGTTTGACATGAATCCGTATGACAAGCTTTCCTGTTTATCAGAGTTTGCTTACATCGCAGCACGACAGATCACTGCTGCGGCTGCCTGTCTTTCCTCTGCGGTACCCGCTTGAACCGTCGCTGGCCTTGACGGTTCAATTTTACGGCTTACCAAGCACGCTGCCGCTACTGGCACAAGCAGAGCCGTGCGGTTGTAGTGGTGGAGGGAGACGGAGGGAGTCCCGTTCGTTGCGCGTGTCAACAATGTTTCTGTAAGGAACAGTTGGTGGCATTGGCGTGCCTGGCGACAGGCATTTAACATCATCGGCCGAACGCGACCCAATCGCGTGGCATTCCATGCTTCGTGCCGACTCGGCCTTCATAGTCTCAAGCTGTTCCTGTAGGTTATGTTATGCGAGATTGCAGCTCCGCATATCTATCCTAAAGGAACCGCCAGTTCAATACTACTGCTCCCGGAAGGGCCGCCGCGCGGGAATTAAACGCTGTACTTGCCCTGCTGGGATTCCTCTTGTATTCGTTGGTGGGGACTTGAATGCTTGAGGTGCCCGGAGTCGAGCCCAATGCCTTGAACAGGTGAGCTCTGGATAGCCCCTTCAGATGCAGCCGTGAAGCTGTTGCAACTGCAGCTGGCAATTTCTTTGGGCCCGGCTTTGCGGACAATGCCTGCAGTATGTATGTGCTTCCTGACGGATGTGCATGTCACGAAAGCTAGCTCTGTGGAGCTCGCGGGAGTTGCCCTTTAGCAATTCACTTGTATTATTCACTTGTATTAAGGCACTAGGGAAAAAACAGGGTTTGCACCTTATCAGGTGGGACGTCCAAGAGTTAAGGTGGGGGGTAGGGGGGGGGCCCCCCCGCTTCACCTTGTCATTATGCGTTTTCCACTGATAAGGTCCCCTCCCCCCCCTCCTTTAAGGTGGTTGTGCCTGGGATAAGGTGGGGGGGGGGGGCCCCCCCCCATCATGAGGTCCCCCCTCCCCCCCCCCCTCCTCAAGGTCCCTTGGTTTTGTTTGTGTCTGACGTTCGGCGACTGAAGTGCGGTCTTCTCTCCAGAGTTACCTCTAGTTGTCGTTCGCACATTACTTTCTCAAGAGTTAAATGAACGAGCAACGCCTGCACCCTTCACCGGCCCAAACTTTCCCTCCGCTACTGTCGTGCACATCGCTTTGCAGAGCTCAGCACCGGACCTCGTGCTTCTAGCTTTCGTGACCAGCTCTCAAGTTGGTATAACGGCGTAAGTATAAGGGTGTAGCTGGTTTTCGCGATCTGCCGGGAAAGCTTGGCAGCGAAGCAAGGCCCACCTCACCAGCAAATTGTCTCGTCGCGATTGCAGGACCCAGCATCACAAGATCTGCGGACTGAGCCGCAGGCAGGTTGGTTCACGTGGTTCTGAATGCCCGGCCCGTTTGCTGGAAATCAGCAGCTCGCAATTTCGCGTAGTGTTAGCAAAGTTGCAGGTCGGATCCCGAGAGGTGCTGCAGACTGCACGGCAGGCAAGCAGCAAGCATGTCAGTTCTGGCGCCGGCATGTCACGATGATCTGCATCGAACCATGTGTATTCCATCTTTCGTGAGAATGGTGTCTCGGAGCACCCGGTCAGGCTTGCTGCTAGACCACATCGACTAGTAACTCGTTTGTCTTGGCAGAGAGGAACTGAGTATTGCCAGGCTGACCGTCCACCTGATACTCTCAGTGAGGCAATTCTTCTTGGCGAGAAGGTACTTTAATCGTATCAGGATGTTGTGTCAATTCCACACGAGCATACTTACAGGAAAAGCTCTAGGACCGGGAGTCTATGTCAAGGTGATGCTGTCACAAGGCATGTTCACATTTGTGATATGGTAAGTGGAGTCTTGACTGCAGCTGGCTTTTGGACACGAGCGATGCATAATCCTCATGAGATAGATCTGCCAACGAGTGTCGTTGAACGCCTTCAGTGCATGTTTGTATCAAGCAGCCGAGCTATCGCAAGTCAGAAGATTGGTGCATCACAGTTGAAGCTTGCGCTGCACTGCTGACGTGTGATAGCAGTGATCCGGTTCCTGTCCACTGTCTGCATATAGCATCGCCAGGCGGATTCACGACATTTCGTGCGATGCTTGCCGTGAGGCGCCACCCATCCGGCTGCAAGTTGAGGAGTCTGCAGTGGCTGAGGAGGCATGCAGCCACTTTGTGCCGAGTTTCCTCTCAACCTTTGTGTTGTTGAGCCAGCGGAAAGACCTGCGTGTGGCAAGTTCCCAAGTGGTTGATTTGACTGGGATTCGCAGGCTTCTGAAGAAGCGTTGCTACAAAGTAAATGCTCCCTGCCGCTGTTGCAGGTTCGGATGGCTATGTTCTCCGTGCGGTCCAACGCCAGAAACAAGCGCACCGAAATGCTTTTTCCGAGCTGTCTGCGAGCTGCTGCGTGCACGAGGTCTCACGATTCTCATGGTAGATGCAGGGATAGCAGATGATTTCGGTTTGTTGACTGCAGCATATTTGCAGCAACTGAAGGAGGCAAAAGGGGTGATGCTCTCAGTCTGCTCAGCGGACTACGCAGAGATGACGAGTAGTCCCTACTCCTCCTTCGCTGTGCTAAAGTTCGCCCTCGATAATGATACAGTGATCTTGCCTTTGAGGGTCGAAGACATCTATCCGCCCCGGCCGCCATCGGGTGAAGACCACCCGTTTGACAAGCACGGAGCTGCCAAAGGCCTGGTAGCAAGGACCATACCCGGCTCGAGGGTGTTCTTGGACTGCAGGAACAAGACGAAGGACGCTCTGCACATGCACAGTCTTGTCAGACACAAGCCACGGCTTTCCAGAAGCCGGCATTGGATTTTGGTTGTTGACAAAGGAGCAAATCACGGACGAAATCGCAAAGAGTCTAATGCGTCCCAAAGCGAAGAAGGGCAGCAGCCCCAGTTTGGTCGGCAATGTACACGAAGCTTCTACTCCTCCTGAACCGAGGCCATGGAGGCTAGCGTTGCTAAGCCGCCGAGCCTGGTGTTCGAAGGCCGAGCCTTCCCTGAGAGAAGCTGGCAGACCCAGAAGTGGTATGGGCGGTGGGGCCTTGGCGGCTGCGGGGCGGCAACCGAGTCCTAATTCGACTTCGTCTCTTGAAAGTGAGACGGATCCAAGTTCTTTCCTCTGCCACGTAAATCCCTCGAGCCACCTGTGGCGTTCAAGCTTCGGACATTTTCCGACCGAGGTTCAGGACAAAGCAAAAGCAATAGCATACCAACCGATGGAGGTGGCCAATGCACTAAAGGGCCGAGGACAGAGCTGGCGAATCCTCCACGTCGGAAGGATTAGCGGGTGCCCTCACCGCAACGGCTGTTGTGGGTTCAGTTCGTCCACGCACTGGCACTCGTCTGGCGGCAGGCCGTGGACAGGCTAGTCGCCATATGAGCATCATTTCGCGCTTTCTGCAAGTCGGAGATCCGGAAAGCCTCAAGATGGAATTCACCGCACAAGCCGCCGGTCGATCGGTACCAAGGGGTGTGTGAGAAGGCACAGTTTGAAGATCCCCAACTCCTATTTCGCAATCAGGTTCCCTGATGCATCATTCAAATTGCGACCTAAGCTTTGTAGTTGGATCCTGCGTGTGAGCTTGATGTTCGGTTTAAGCAAGAGACCGGCTGGTCAAATGATTTTGTGCCCACGACTGAAATGCGATTGCAATTCCTGCTAGAAGCTTCTTGATTCCCCGAGAAGGGCGCTCGATTTTGTTCTGACATGCAGAGAGGCAGACCTGCCTAGGCCAAGCAAAAAGGGTCGAAGCACCGCCATCCCGCATCAGCACAGATATTAGAGAAGCCGTGCTGAAGGGAGGTGGGGGTCAGGTGTTCATGAACTCGGTCATTAGTCTCCTTGATCTTGATATTTTGTTTTTGATGCGCCTGGCACAGACGTAGTTTGAGTTAGCAGTCGATCAGTGGTTTTTCTTGTGTGACGTTGTTGTGTTTCTCGATCCGGCTGGTGTAACTTAGCTATTAATCCCGAAACTTTTTTCATCCCATGCCTGGGAACATGAACTCGCTTTAAGAGCTTTCTGTGAGATCTTTATGGGGGATCCCCTCATCCATCTGCTGTGCTGTGCTTTGTTACACTATCCGCAAACATACATGCGCTTGCAGACTCAAGCCTTGCAATCAGAAGCTTTCCAGCCAAACACATTTGCATATTATCTCTCTCCCACCTCGGAGAACGGACGTCGCTACTAAAATGGCAGTCGCTCGAGTCTCGAAGAGACTTTGTAAGTAGCGACCCCGACGAAGGCTACATCACCTGCCCCGTATTCGTTTGCAGAAGCGTGATGTGTTTTGAGCTTGAGCAAGGCTAGTTGCAAGTTTTCCTCGTTGGCAAAGGCGGAAGACTTGTCTTTTGCCGCATTTGTTGATTTTGCATGAAGCTAAAGGTAAAAAAAGTTCGCGTGGCAGGGCTTGCAACTTGCAAGATGCCGGTGGATTTACCATGGCACCCGCCCCGGACCCTAGTCTGGCTGTGACACCATGCCCACTGCTGCCCAAGCCAAGACAAGCCGTTTGCAAACTTAAACTTCAAAGCCGATCTGATAGCGCAGCCTGATGCAAAATAGCGCCTTGGGATGTGTGCAGATATGAGGGCTTTGGGCAGCAGCGGCGAATCTTGAACTGCACCAGTGATCGTGTGCCCTCATCGCGTCGATCGCTGATATCAGGGCTCAGGGTCTGCTGTCTTCACGGCGTTGTGAGTCGTTTCCCTTGCGCCCCCGAATGCCACAGCACACAGCCAATCTCAGGAAGCTCTGAAGTTTCCCAATGTTTGGTCTTGAGAGCACAAAATTACAGTGGCATGAGCTCAAAGTCAGGCTTTGCCACGAGCTTTCTTGGAACAGAGCGGAGGCTTGCTGCAACAGAAAGTCCGAACGAATCAGCGTTTTTGCGTTTTTGACGGTCCGAACAGTGTCTGTAGGTGTTGAATTGCCACCCGTCGCGACTCAGCACGACAAGGCTCAAGGTCTTCAGGAAGTTCGCAGATGGCGCGGTTTCTCAAGCTGTGCGTCGCCCCCTCAGGTTCGTCATGAACTGGCGGTATTGGAGTGGGGGCGTTTGGGGTGTCGGCTTCGTGCAGTTCGGCTTTCTTTGCCAAGTGCGGAGAGTGACAAGTTGGAGGTGTGCAATCGGATGCCGTTGCGAGGCTGTCCTGTTTGGCGGCATCCGTGCGATGGATGGCTCAGGCCCCACGTTTAAGTACTTCCGCACGGACAGTCTAATTTGCATCAAGCGCGTGGGTTTTTCAAGTTCATAGACACCATGTTGCACATTCAGTGTCCTATTCGGCACATCATGGCGACGACGATGCTACCCCTGCCCGTCTTACTTTTGCCATTGCATCGACCACCGGACCACTCCACACTGGTACTTCGCCTGGGGCGGCACCACGGTGCCTTGAGGGTAAGGTGTGTATGTTGGGGCTGAATCTGGATGTCACAAGCTGTGCGCAGTGCCATCAGGTGACCAGGCTTTGCCAACTTTGCCAAACTTGATGGCGCGGCAACTTGGTTCGGCAATCTGCCGGCGTTGCGTAAAGCCGCTGCTTTGGTTGGAGAGGACTTCGTGAACCTCAGCTGCAGCTGCACATCAGCATCATCCCAGGCTCAGTGCATGTCAAAGGTACTTATTGCGAGCCTTGACATGCAGAGTTCACTACACGGCAGGGCGTGAATCTTCGCCTTCGTCGGGTCCACACGGGCCAGACCATCAGAGCTCCTGCCCCGACCTTGGTGGCCCAGACGCTGTGCACGGCATGCAAAGATTGCTTCGGAAAGCCCACGCTTACTCTTTGTTCGAAGGGCTTGAAATTGCGTGGCATACGACCAAACGGGTAGGGGGTACTGTTTGCTTCTGTTTGGACTTTATGTTTTACTAGGAGTGTCTCAGATCCTTTTTTTGCTGCTGGTGTCTACCCTAAGCAGCCTTTCTTGAAGCGAGGTTTTGTGAGTGACAGGTTCGGGGGCTTGAGGTCCGAGGTAAAGGGTGAACGGTTTAAGTTGAAAGGCAAAATAGCCATGTGACGGCTTGATAGCAGTTTGAGCGGATGTGCTTGGTTTTCGGTGTAGAGCTACAGTAACTCACGAATCCACATGGATCCAGGAGCAAGGTATCTCCACATGCTCTTCGACTGCCGAGGCTTGGGGCAAATCGCACTATCCGAGCCACAGTAGCGCATGAATCCATTCCATCCGGGAGCAGGGGGGGACTTCCTCAAGTTCAAGCTGCTCCCAACCGCAGGCCTGTGTCGACAGCCGGGCTCTCGTGTTTCGAGAAGATGAGAAGATAGGTGAACGCAGATAGTGTCTTCAATCACTTACAGGCGATGATGAACTACTGGCGATGGCCTTGGCTGAGGTATTCAAGGCCTCGTTTCTTGTTGAGCTTGCGTCAAATCGCACCTTCCAAGCTACAGTAACTCACGAAAAACTCCTCATGGATCCAGGAGCAAGATATCTCCACCTGCTCTTCGACTGCCGAGGATTGGGGCAAATCGCACTATCCGAGCCACAGTAGTGCATGAATCCATTCCATCCGGGAGCAGGGGGGGACTTCCTCAAGTTCAAGCTCCCAACCGCAGGCCTGTGTCGATGTTGGAGCGAATCGCACCATCCCAACTAGCGCACCCGCTTTCCATCCCGAGTCAGGACCAAAGCAAATGAAGACGAGGCTCGGACATTGGCTTGCGACTCCTGAGCCATGTAATGCCACCCGAACGCAACCCCAATGGTATCCTTCATGTTGAGTTGTTTCCATGTTGCCATTGATAAACGTTTCCGTATCATGCTTCTCTTTGTCCTTGAAAGCACAATCTCGTCAACGCTTGTGGCTATGCGTTTTTCATTCATAGCTGTTGTCCGAAGGAAGTGGTGGTGTCTGTATGTGCTCGCCTGCCGGCGCCAATTGGGATCCCAGGATGCTCATGATGCGCTTAGCTGGCTTAGCTTCTTTGAGACGCCTAGCTTCTTCTGTGTGATCGTTGTCTTTTTCAACGATTTTAAGACAAAGGGTCTAGGGCTTTGAGTTGCGCAAGGGTTGTGTATGACCCCGTTCGTTGTCTTCTGTATGCTCTTTGGAAACTGAAACAACTGTGTATGACACCATTCGTTGTCTTTTTCAGCGATTTTAAGACACAGGCTCTTGGGCTTTGAGTGCGCAAGGGTTGCGTATGACCCCGTTCGTTTTCTTCTGTATGCTCCTTGGAAATTGAAACAACTGTGTATGACACCATTCGTTGTCTTTTCCAGCGATTTTAAGATACAGGGCCTAGGGCTTTGAGTGCGCAAGGGTTGCGTATGACCCCGTTCGTTTTCTTCTGTATGCCCCATGGAACTGAAACAACTGTGTATGACACCATCCGTTGTCTTTTTCAGCGATTTTAAGATACAGGGTTTAGGGCTATGAGTGCGCAAGGGTTGTGTATGACCCCGTTCGTTTTCTTCTGTATGCTCCTTGGAAACTGAAACAACTGTGTATGACACCATCCGCTGTCTTTTTCGGCGATTTTAAGACACAGGGTCTAGGGCTTTGAGTGCGCAAGGGCTGTGTATGACCCCGTTCGTTTTCTTGTGTATGCTCCTCGGAAACTGAAAAAACTGTGTATGACACCATTCGTTGTCTTTTTCAGCGATCTTAAGATACAGGGTCTAGGGCTTTGAGTGCGCAAGGGTTGTGTATGACCCCGTTCGTTTTCTTCTGTATGCTCCTTGGAAACTGAAACAACTCTGTATGACACCATTCGTTGTTTTTTTCAGCGATTTTAAGATACAGGGTCTAGGGCTTTGAGTGCGCCAGGGTTGTGTATGACCCCGTTCGTTTTCTTCTGTATGCTCCTTGGAAACTGAAACCACCTGTGAATGACACCATTCGTTGTCTTTTTCAACGATTTTGAGATACAGGGTCTCGGGCTTTGAGTGCGCAAGGGTTGTGTATGACCCGTTCGTTTTCTTCTGTATGCTCATTGGAAACTGAAACAACTGTGTATGACACCATTCGTTGTCTTTTTCAGCGGTTTTAAGATACAGGGTCCAGGGCTTTGAGTGCGCAAGGGTTGTGTATGACCCCGTTCGTTTTCTTCTGTATGCTCCTTGGAAACTGAAAGAACTGTGTACGACACCATTCGTTGTCTTTTTCAGCGATTTTAAGATACAGGGTCTAGGGCTTTGAGTGCGCAAGGGATGTGTATGACCCTGTTCGTTTTCTTCTGTATGCTCCTTGGAAACTGAAACAACTGTGTATGACACCATTCGTTGTCTTTTTCAGCGATTTTAAGATACAGGGTCTAGGGCTTTGAGTGCGCAAGGGTTGCGTATGACCCCGTTCGTTTTCTTCTGTATGCTCCTTGGAAACTGAAAAAACTGTGTATGACACCATTCGTTGTCTTTTCCATCGATTTTAAGATACAGGGTCTAAGGCTTTGAGTGCGCAAGGGTTGTGTATGACCCCGCTCGTTTTCTTCTGTATGCTCCGTGGAAACTGAAACAACTGTGTATGACACCTTTCGTTGTCTTTTTCAGCGATTTTAAGATACAGGGTCTAGGGCTTTGAGTGCGCAAGGGTTGCGTATGACCCCGTTCGTTTTCTTCTGTTGCTCCTTGGAAACTGAAACAACTGTGTACGACACCATTCGTTGTCTTTTTCAGCGATTTTAAGATACAGGGTCTAAGGCTTTGAGTGCGCAAGGGTTGTGTATGACCCCGTTCGTTTTCTTCTGTATGCTCCTTGGAAACTAAAATTCTAAAACAACTGTGTATGACACCATTCGTTGTCTTTTTCAACGATTTTAAGATACAGGGTCTAGGGCTTTGAGTGCGCAAGGGTTGCGTATGACCCCGTTCGTTTTCTTCTGTATGCTCCTTGGCAATTGAAACAACTGTGTATGACACCATTCGTTGTCTTTTCCAGCGATTTTAAGATACAGGGCCTAGGGCTTTGAGTGCGCAAGGGTTGCGTATGACCCCGTTCGTTTTCTTCTGTATGCTCATTGGAAACTGAAACAACTGTGTATGACACCATTCGTTGTCTTTTCCAGCGAATTTAAGATACAGGGTCTAGGGCTTTGAGTGCGCAAGGGTTGTGTATGACCCCGTTCGTTTTCTTCTGCATGCTCCTTGGAAACTGAAACAACTGTGTATGACACCATCCGTTGTCTTTTTCAGCGATTTTAAGATACAGGGTCTAGGGCTTTGAGTGCGCAAGGGTTGCGTATGACCCCGTTCGTTTTCTTCTGTATGCTCATGGAACTGAAACAACTGTGTATGACACCATCCGTTGTCTTTTTCAGCGATTTTAAGATACAGGGTCTAGGGCTTTGAGTGCGCAAGGGTTGTGTATGACCCCGTTCGTTTTCTTCTGTATGCTCCTTGGAGATTGAAGCCACTGTGTATGACCCCGTTCGTTTTCTTTTCAACAGTTTTAGGGTGTAGGGTCTAGGGCTTTGGGTGCACATGGGTTGTGTATGACCCCGTTCGTTTTCTTCTGTATGCTCCTTGGAGATTGAAGCCACTGTGTATGACCCCGTTCGTTTTCTTTTCAACAGTTTCAGGGTGTAGGGTCTAGGGCTTTGGGTGCACATGGGTTGTGTATGACCCTGTTCGTTTTGTTCTGTATGCTCCTTGGAGACAGTGAAACAACTGTGCATGACCCCATTCGTTTCCATTTTTGACGGTTTTAGGGTGTAGGGTCTAGGGCTTTGGGTGCGCAAGTATTGTGTATGAACCCCGTTCGTTTTCCTCTGTATGTTCCCTGGAGACTTTTTCAACGGGTCTAAGTCTAGGGCTTTGGGTGCACAAGGGTTGTGTATGACCCAGTTCGTTTTCTTCTGTATGCTCCTTAGAAATTGAAATAACAGTGTATTCCTCAACTCCCAAACTTTAATCCCAGTGATGCTCATGATGCGCTAAGCTTTTCTGTGTACGGTCTTCACTCATGCTCACTAAGCCCATGAAGCTAGAGCTTTCGTCATCACCCTCCGGGTCTCAAGTGGTTTCAAGCCCTGAAGTTCTAAGGCATTGCAAACTGGTAGTGAATAAACGCGGAATAAAGTCTGGAGTCTAGGATGGCAATGGTTGGCGTCTTGCGGAAGCCACTGGATTAGACTTGCAGACTTCTTCCGTGCTGCTGTGACAAGGACGACTGGGATGAGGGTGGTTCTGTGGCCCATGAGCTGATGCCTCAGGGAATCTTTGGAAGCTCTTAAAACAACAGTAGTAGGCCATTTGTTGCGCAATGTGCGACTATACTTGCTTTAGGCTTTGTCGAGCACCCGCCTGTATGGCGCCAAGCAAGGTCATGTTGTTGCTGTTTGGCGCGGCGCCACACAGTTGGAGTTGCAGGCCTGAGAAAGAGGCACGACGAGGCATAAGTCATCAATTGACGAGATTCCTCTCCCGACACTTCAGAGCTGTTGCGGCGAGAATTTGTCCGAACTTCCCAGCATTTCCGAGAGCACTTTTTGTCTGTCGATCATCCCATTAGCACTGGGGTTGAGGGCAGAGGGATGTGAACGAGGCTGTCTGGGGTGCAAAGCACGGTCGCGAGGCTGCAGAGTCTCGAACATCGACGATGCTTGTGAACGGATAGGCGGATAGGCCCCGACAGGCATGCCCGGGGCGAGATGTGGTGATTAGCAGATAAATAGCAGTGCTGCTTTCCTGTACACGACACAAACTGCTTGAGCCTACCCGGGTCTGCCCAAACAACCGGTGCGGCAAGTGCCCCGGACCAACACAAAAAAAAAGTCTTTGCCCAACAGCTCGCTGTCTGGTGTTAGGCTCAGCCAGTGCTGAGCGTAGCATCAGCCAGCGGGCTTTGGGGCGAAGGCTTTTTGGCAGTGCAGCCCGAAAAACTTCGGCATCAACGCGAGGGCAGCTTGCATAGCGTAGATTGAGCTGCATACCTGCTGCATTGATCTCATGGCCTCAAAACTTTGGCTTGACATCCAAAAGCTGTGAAGCATCTGGCAGACGGTAGGCAGCTTTCAAACGCGTCTCTCAAAGGCGTGCATGCGTGCCATGCTGTCAACATGTGATGCACCAGTGCCGGGCTCAGTTCCTTAGCAGTGGGCTGGCCTGTTTCCAAGCCTCTGAATCCGTCAGCATTTTTCATTGCTCCCGAAGGCGCAACAGCAGGCTTTAAAGGATTCAGGAGAAGACGCGAAACCCTCGTGCTGCGTTTGCAACGGGGTCGCAAGCAGACGCGAGTGCCGGATTCCTGCCAGACACACCATCCTGTTGACAGTCGAGGGTTTCGGACCCATGTCAAACAATGACAATTGGCACTCGTGTCCTTGTCGCGGATCAATAAGTACTAACTGACACGGGGATGCCGTACCCGATGGTTGCCATCCTCGTGACAGTCCTCGCTCTTGGACCGTCGCGACTTGGTCACGTGCTTAAGAAAAGCTTTGCAGTTCCTGAACTTCCTGCTGCGCGAGTATCCATTGCCACAAGAATGTGGCCCCCGATGGTCGCCATCCTCGTGACCGTCGTCGCTTTTGGGCCCTAATGTCCTCGTCACGTGTCAAAAATGTCAGCTGTCAAAGGGATGCGACCCATTAGATGCAATCACCAGAATTCAGCGACAGGCGCGTGGTTTCGTGGTTAAGGTTCACGTAGGCATTTCGTGAGATTGCAAGTGGCTGACGATGCGGCACTTCCATGTGCTTAGCATCAAAATCGGAGCGCTTCGTTTTTCGTGCCTTCATCATCTTCGGATGTCTTTGTTCCAAACGCTGTTGCTTGGGTCGCGCGTGTGTATGGGCTGTAAACACATTCGGGCTCGTTGCTCCCATTAGGTTATTTTCGGGGGGCGCTGAGATATTAACGCTGAGGTCATGAGCCTCGAAGAATTTCTGGCACCAGTGCGAGCCTTACATGAGCACGGCCAACGTAACAAACGACGATCTGGTAAAGGAGAGCTTGTAGAGGCCGCTGTGTGAGCCATGAGGTGATCAGCCTAGACGAATTCCTGGCTCCAGTGCAAGACTTGGAGCACTGGCACTTGCTGGCCGCATCCTGGAACTCCGAACCGCGCGTGAGGTGATGACCTTGCAAAAGTTCTTGGAGCCAGTGCGAGACTTACATTACGTGCATCAGTTGGGGGTTTTTGGAAGCTGCACTATAGAGCAACGGACCATCGCTCCAAGACTGTGTGGATCTGGTGTGCATGCTGCTAACTTCCAACATGCCAAGCCAGCCCAATGGGGTAGTGGCAGGGGCTCAGCGTCAGTTGAAGGCATTGGGATCTTTAGACGCGGAGGTCAGGCCCACCTAGATGGTTTATGATGATGTGACATGAGTATGTATTTGTTCATGGTAGTTGTCTGTGGACACCCCCACACCACACCCATTGTCCGTGTCGTTGTCATTGTCGCTGTCATTGTTGATTAGGCTGGAGGCCTCCAGCAGTCCCGATGCGTGCAAGCAGGGACGGATGAGAGGATGACAGTGGAAAGTCAGGGGAAGCCGAGCACTTCACAGCAAGACTAGAAATCCCAGGCCCCAACAGAGAGCGGGACATAAGGGAACGGGCTGAAGAGCGCAACGCATCGAAGTCATAATGAAGAGCGTGAGCAGGAGCATGAGACACCCGACCACTTCTTGGAGGCGAGGTGGTCAACCCCACAGCATTGCCCTCGCGTTCCAGGTAAAGGAGTGGTGTTCGACTGCCTGCGAGGACGCCAGCAAAGCTCCGCCGCCTGCATGCTCCAAGCGTGAGGCCGCTTTTTTGTTTCATTGTTGCAGCGGGTGCTTGACGTGAGGAGGTGACCACTGGGGTTTTCTGGGGATGCCTAGCCATGTGTAAACCGATGAATCTATGGGACAGCAGCAGCAAGATAGGCAATGCAAAGACAAAGCCGCTCTCCCGGCAGCAACGCCCTGGCGATGCCCAAATTGAGATCATCTATTGGAGCAGAACATGACAGGGAGGAACGAGCGACTTCCAAGATTCATGCTCAATCTTCGCTAGAACTTCGTTCTTTGGGCTTCTGCATCAGCTGTATCCTTTGGCAACAGCGGCATTTCTGAGCAGGGCAGGGGTGATATCCGAGTTTTGAGTTTTCCGCGATCCCTACAGACTGCTTGCAGCCCCTTCGGGGCATTTCCCATCATATTGGCTGCTCCCCACCTAGAACCCTATTGTCCACCCACGACAGGATTTAGTCATTTTCAAAACTCAAGGCAGCCTGAACATGGAGAAGGGATGGCAGGATCGGCGATTAGGGCTACTTGTAGTAGGATTGTTGAGCTTAGAGTCCGTACCGTCAATTGGCCCCGCGATACTTCGACTCGACATTGACGCTACGTTTTTGGTTGGGATAGGCAGTGTGGAGTAAGCACAGTCGCTACCTGGATGTTCGCGGGCGGTTTCAGGATACCAAGCGGGGACACTGCTGCTGCCCTTGCTAGGGGGAAAGAAACCATAATTTACGACAGACTGCGTAATCATGGGCTGTGTCTTGACCCCTGGCCGAGGTGTCCTTATGTGGCAAGGCCAGCCGTCCAGCCGAGCCGGCTTCAACGCAGCTACTCGTAATTTGTGCCTTTCAGATTCACAGGTTGCTTCGAGTTTTTCGCGTATTTGTAGGCCATCTGTGGGGCAGTTGCGACTTGAGATCTTGTTTTTTCACTCGCAGGTGGTCGTCCTGGGGTGGCCCAAGCCAAAGAAAAACGGGGTGCCGTTCACCGACTTTGTTCTCGAGGACTGCACGCAAGCCCGCAAGCCAATTCCGTCAGCCAGGATCGGGGTAAAGTTGTTGGGGGTGTTGGGTCCCTTGGCGGTTTTGCCAAGAAGCCAAATTCTGTAAGACAGGATTTCGGGCAAAGCTACTTGCATGGGCTTGTTGAGGCACCAGATGTCGGTTTTGCAAGGAAGGCAGACCTGTCAGCCAGGATTGGGGTAAAGCCGTTGGTTGTTTGCTGGCTTTTGTTGGGGGACCCGCTTTTGTTGCGGAAAAGCCAAACCTGCCTGCAAATCCAGGTGTCATCAGCAGCAGTCTTGTATACAGCCCTGGCTTCTCAGGAAGGGCACTATTGGTTTCGACAGGCTTGGAGCGTTTTTGCGTGTCTGCATGCACTGAATAATGCCACAAGTAACCGTATGATGCATCATTGAAGGTGGAATTGCCTTGCGACATCCGAGCGACTTTGGATTCGTTATCCCACAGCTTGGGCTACCCGAGCCCGGCATGAAGTCTGGCTTTGCCCAGAAGACAAAGTTGCATGCCGGCCTCTCAACATCGACCGGGAAGCTTTGCAGGCCTGGGCATGCAGTGATCAAACAGGACAAGAGGCAGATTGCCGGGCTCAAGTCAAAGGCTAGGACGCTTTTGCTGCGAAAACCGCATTGGTGCTCGGACGGGGAGCGAAGACCGCTTGCCCCCTCGTGTCCATTATCTGCCGGCTACAGTGGCATAAGCCTAAAGTCAGGCTTTGCCAGGAAGGGTCTGTGTTTCCACAGCAACGAAGTCTCCGCAAGAAGCTTGATGTAATAAACATCCTCCGCCGGACATGTTCGTCCTCAGCTTGACACTACCAGAAGGTTGAAAAAGTGGGTGGGGCGACAGGCAGAAAAGAGTTTGCTTCTCTGCCGTTAAACTGCAACATCTGGCTGGAAAAGAGTGTTGAAATGTGGTCGTGTGAGTACGAGAGCAACCCTGGAGTGGACCGGGCTCTCGGTCCATCGGTTTGCGAGCCTCCAGGATTGATGCCGACTTGGAAGAATGCTCAAGCCGTGCTCATGCAGGCAGCATCTTCAGCAGCAGTCATGCGCATTGTCATCTCCTGAACAACAACATCAGTCTTGTGCGCCAGCAGCGCTAAACTAAACCCTGAAATCTAAACCGAATTCGAGTGTGCGTCGCAAGACACTTACAGCAAATCCCCAAAAAGGAGAAACGTTAAGTCCCCCACAAGCTCATGTGGGAGCGGTCGGTGATCGCCGTGCCTTGCCACGTTTACATGGATCAAGACACCCAGGCAAGCGAGCCTTGCAAGCGTCAGCCTTGGCTTCTGGAGGCCCGATCTTCGTGCGTCGTGAGTAGGCATACAGATCGGACTCATAGTTAGAATATCAGGTTCGCAAAAACGAAGATAGTGTAAGAGAGAAACGGCGGTCATGGAAGCAACGAGGTGGTGGGTGTACGGCTAGGGGGTGCATCCAAGGAGAGGCCCGAAAATGGGGAGTTGGAGCTTGCGTCTACATGCATCATTATCAGTCATTGTCCTTATTCGTGCTATTCGTTTTGTCTAATTAGTAGAGTTACTGCTCGTCTTAATGTCAAATATCTCCCCAATCTCCCCATAGGCGCATCACGAGCAGAGCGGCAAGCATGAGCGAGGACGCGGAGGCCCGAATGAACATCCAGGAGCTCAACAGTCGAATTCGTTTTTGCTAGAATGTTGCTGTTGCAGGAGTTCTTTGGCCCTTGTTTTGCTGCGGGCAGCTTTTTCATCTGCACATGCCTGCTGCTGTTGCCACGATCCATATGACAATGCATGACTTTTGCTGGCGCCATGGCCAGCTTTGCAGAGTGCAAGTGTAGGTGCTTCCGCCGAACACGAGCTCCACTTGGAGCCACCCACAGCAGTCGCTGTGCAGCAGTTGGACTGCGGATGCTGCCTACTTCAGCGGTAGTCGGACACAACTGCCTTGAAAGCAGTCTAGGGCTGACAAGCGCGAACAGCGACATGGTTTTGGTTTCCCTAAGCTCTTGAGTGTTCCCATCGGCAACCACTTGACGTAAAAGCTCTCAAATCTGCGAGTGTAAAGACGCCCACGCAAGCCGTTTGAACTGTCTATCTTTCGACAAGTCATGCAACAGCTGATCAATCCGCAGAATGCAAAAGGTGGACTTCTCCACACATTTTCCAAGGTTTTTCAATCTCGGCGTGTCAAAGCCCATAGAGCGTCATGGTCCGAAAACACCATGCCCTCCAGGTGTTTCCAGTAAATCTCATGTCTCTACAATGGCATCCCAAACGCATTGACCTACCTTTCGCAGACCTTCCGTGCTCCTGAAGCGTTATATTCGTCAATAGCCCTTAGTGATGTCGCTTTCGGTGAGGGCAGATCCCTCAATCGTCCGCGTGCCATTCACTCGCTCCAACAGGGGGGGGAACTACGTGGGCTCCAGAGTATTCTGGCGACTGGAAGAGGTTATCGACCCTGCCAAAGGAAGTTCCAAGTTGCAGGGGTGTCCACAGCCCAGCCCTACACTTGAACCTTTTTTCCGATTTCTGAAGCATTCTGAACCCCGCAGACAACACCAAGATCCTGCAGCCAAAAGCCCGACATGCCCGAGCTACAGTCCTAAAGGCCTTAAGCTTTACATGTAACCGTCTTTTGGGCCCGAAACCCTCGAGAGTCCTGCCGGGAGGTCAAAACTTCGACGAGCTGTGGCTGCGGCAGAAAAATGCGGCATTCGCATGGCCCTGACCTCGGTCAGTTGTGTGGGTTGCGGGATCCGTTCAGGGTCGCGGGTCAAGGTCTTGGGTCCAAGTTCAAGGTCCATCGAAGTTTAGCTTTGCGGTTGTGGTCGCGGTGAGGCTTCAAGCTCCAGCCTTGCGAAGGTCCTCGAGATGTCGGGGAACTTGGGGTGTCGTGTGTCGTCATTTTGATCGTACGGCCCGAGGCTTGCGCATGGGTACCAAACGTTGCAGCTGTCGCCCAGGGTGTTCGGGTGTGGAGTCGTCGGCTTCTTGTATTCTAGGACATTTCCTTGCAGGGTGTTTACGTATAAAACTTAGGTGCTTCGTGGGGGGGCCCAGCAATCCGGTGATGCGAAGTTGCAAGGAACACTAAACGTCCTGCGACAATCCGCTGCGCCATAAACTCAGACTTCTAGGCCTGGAGCCTCGAGCCTTTGGAATTGTCTCACGCTGCGTCCTGTACCTTGCAAGGCCTGAAACCCGAAGATACCCGAACACATTCAGAGTCCACGGCCGGGCCTGAAACTTCCGCCCTTCCTTCGATCCTTGCGTTTGTTTGGAGGAGATCGAGAAGGAGGCGGCGGTGCACTCCGAGCAATACGAGGCATCTGGAAGGGAGGTCATGGGCTTAATCCAAGACCAAGCCCTGGCCGCCTGGCCTTTCACTGGAGCTATGCCGATCTCATCGGAAAGCGATGCAGGAGGATGCCGTTGAGGTTCGCCGGGCCATGAACAGCAAGGACGAGGTGGCCCATGCATTCTTGAGCGTCGGGCATGGTGCGGGTGGAGGGGGTACTGTAGTGTGAGATTTTTGGAACATGTTCAGCAGAGGCAAAGGCAGTCCAGAAGAACCGATTAGCCTAAGCTTCGCGATCGCAACAAGTAGGGGAGAGAGGTTTCATTTGACAACCTGTGGAAATGTTAGGTGTGCTGTCTTTCGGACCTACACACCTTGTTTGGCTTGCTTGGGGCATGATTTCTGAAAACGGCGAACCTGCGTGCAAGTGCAGGATTCGCCGAGGCGGGGTGTAACAGAAGTGTCCTTGCCCTTTGTAACACAACCGCACGTCGCAGCCCTGAAGTTCAAGTGAGAACAGTGTTGCAGTTGTAATTTCTGGAACTAGGAAGAAGCGCCATGGACAGTGAAGAGCACAGGTTGAACCTTGCACTGCAGCTAGAGCCCAGGAAGGCTGCGTCGTCTTCTTCCCCGGCTGTGAAGCGCATCGGCGACGAGAGTCGGGGGGTCACCGCCGGGGGGCCGCAGAAGCGCCAGGCCACAGCCATGGCCGAAACCACAGCCGCCGCCCGGACGTATCCTCCCTTCAGAGTGCCCAGGCCACCTCCACGGGCTCCCGCAGCTCCCGCAGCTCCCCGGGGTCGCCTCAAGGACAGACTGGGATCATCTACATCGCCAAATTCGGGTGTGCTGGTTACACCAAGGCCCAAGTGCGGACCGACGACGGTGCCACCAAGGCCGTCGTTGGCTTCGCCAGACCCTGCGGCCAGGCAGGTGGACGTGGCATTGGGGTTACCAGGCTCGAGTGAAGCTTTGAAGCCACAAATTGTTCAACATCGACACCAAGCGTCCACGCCCGGCCTTGTTTCCCAACAGACGGCGAGTCAGAGGCGATCCGATGTGGAAGAAGAGGCGGCAAGCTCAGCTCAAAGCACGGCAGTGCCAGCCTCGCAAGGAGAGGTCTTTTCACAGTCCACATCAAGAGAGACGTCGGCGCTTTCCCAGGAGACGACTGAGTGGCATCTTGCAACCACTCCGAAGGGGGAGTGGACAGGAAAAGACTTCCTTGACGCTCTCAAGACGGGCTACCTGGAGACGCTCGCGCAATTCATAGGAAACATTGGTATGCATGGCCACCGCTGGGACCTGGAACAATCAAGGCACAGTTGGGCTGAGTGCTTGTTTCCGTGTTGCATAGAAGCTTTGTTTTGATATCGTCATCGTCATTAGGCCCAAATCCCTGTAGAGTTGGACTCGTATGGACACGCCATGTCAGCTCCCGCAAATTCCTCAAACCTTGAACGCTAGTGGCATCTGGTAAGTTACCGATTTCTGTAGAAAGCTGCGAACCCACTGAAGGCCGAGAGCCAAGTGAATGCTTCTGCAAAGAGAGTCGAAACCGACTGAAAAAACTAGCTGTCACAGCTCACGTAAGCCCTGCTTTCATGAGCATCTTGGAATACTAGCAAAACGTAATAAGCCACGGCAAAACAGAAAGAATTTTGTTTGCAACTCACGTCCGTCAGCTCTTGTCCCAAATACTGTTTCACGTGTCTCAAAGCAACACAACCTCGCATCCGATTGACCCGCCATGGAGTAATGGGTCGGCCACACGGCCGAAACAAGCACAAATGCAGTAGCTTGTGGCATGTATCATCGGAGGCAAACGAGCACAGGAACCTTCAAAGACAGACCTGAGTCCACGGGGTAATCCCCTCCCCTCAACATTTAACTCCCACCCCCCCACCCCCAAATATTAGAAGTAATTTGATGGCTACTAAGTACAAGGAATACTTCATATTAAGGGGGGGCGGTTGGGGGGCTTTGATATAAGGAGGAGGGGATTATGTGAGTTTCTGCCGAGTTGGCTGTTGGATGGGCGAAACCATATTCAAATCCAGCGCTGTAGATAAAGTGGTGGACGGCAATTTCTAGTGAACGTGAATCCTGCCATTCCACCCAGCCTATGACCTATGATTCCTTCCATTGCGTGCGCTGATCCGTGCAGGTTCTGTGATAAGATTCAAAGTTCCACATGTTTGACATTATGCGACTAGCGGCAGCGGTCGGAGCATCACGAACTGCTACAGAATGAGCAAGCCGGTAGGTTACGCATAACAACTGGATCTTTGTAGTTATTATGGGCCATACTCCCTACGTATGTCCTGAAGAGCTATAAAAAATTTTGAATTTTATAGAGAGCCCCTGAGTCAGATGTAGATAAGCAGCAAGATTGCACGCGGCGGGCAGTGCAGCAGTGTCCCCGAAGTGCTGCGGCAGAGCTGATGCACCAGCCACGTTCGTGCATGATTGTTTTGCTTTCTCAAGCAAACGTGGCGAAGGGTTTTCAGCGAAGGCGTCGGTGAACAGGATGGCTGATGGCATTGTGAGAGATCTGTAGACACTGGCAGACACCAATCGAAGCGAACGGAGTCAACCAGGAGCGACAGTGCCAAAGCACCGCCACAAACTCACCGAAGGGGTCCACGAAGACCAGGAGTCACCAAAGGATTCCTTAGCTGAAGCACGAATGCTTGCTGACCTTAGCGCGGCAGGACGCCGCCCAGTGGCAGCCAACCACAGAGACAGGCAGCACAACACAGCCTGCGAGGGCACTCCAAAGCGGAAGCACAAGGGCTTACTGACCTTAGAACTGCAAGACGTCACCCAGTGACGGCTCGCTTCAAGGTGTGACGTCACCCCTCAGTTCGCTGGGCCTCGACCCAACGATTCCCTGGCAGCATGGCCAGCTACTTCCACCGACAGTCCAAGCAACGTTGGCGAACCTGTGCCAACCACTCAAGAATCTGAGTATCAATGCCACTCCGTGCCTTAACACCTGAGGGCCAGCCAAGCCTAGACTGAAGAGCATCAAAGCAAGACATCATTGTGATAAGATGACGGGATGATGGTGATGTAAGGTCGCCGCGAGGTGTCGTCGTAAGGCATGGGATGGACGGACCTTCTGATGGGTTCTGCTCATGGACGTTGTGACGGGAACAATCGGATGGATGGATGGATGGAGCCTTGCCGAATGTATCGTGTCTTAAAGCACGGGTCGGAGGGAGCCGCCGCACCTCGCCAAATCGCACTGGCGCACGGAGCGTCATCGAAATTCTGCGCCTGATCGACGACCGTCTCGCTGCTCGCGGCATGTCATGATGCGCGTGATTGCCGTCAACTGCCTGGTCACACTTGGCCAAAGGATCTTGGAAGTTCTTGGTGCTCAGACAAAACCCGCAGTCAGGTGAACATCTCGATGCTTACATGCTCCGAGGAGCACCCGAAGGAAGCTAGGAAACAACATGCTCACCATTATCAGTGCAGCGCCCAAGGAATGGTGCATCAGGCACGGCCTCCACGACTCATGTCCTCGAGATCCCCCCTTGTTCCTCTCCTGATGAGCCTTCGTGCGTGCAGTACACCGGGTGGCGCAGGATTGTAGGAATCCAGGCATCAGCTTTGGGATCCCCATTGAAATCATTGAAATCATGAGCAACTTAGACGGATGCCTTCCCGACTGCCTGTTTAGCCTATTTAGCCTGAAGCTCCTCTGAAAGCACGACCGGTGCAGACTGCACTGCAGGAGTGTTGTCAAGGACTTCTTGGAGCGCTACAACCACATTGACTCGCATGACTGCAGCCTCCACTACTTCGAGCACCAGCGAGAGGGCTCGCACTTCCGTGCCACCTTGGTCACCACTGGATTTGGCAACCGTCGGTACGTAGGTTCCTCCGCAGATTACCCAAAGTCTGTGAAACATCCGCGTGGTTCCAAAGATCGGCAAATCATGAGAACGCGATCTGCAGAGCGGATGGCCTGCGCAGCGTTCATGGCAGACACGGATGTTGACGAGATCAGGCAACATCTGCCGCCTCCGAGGCGCATCATCCGAAGGCACATGCATCTCACACAACCTCAAAAGGAGGAGCTGAAAGTCCTATGTGGCAACGGATTTCAAGCTGTCCATGATCAGATCATAGACGCGGTGTACCAAGGCTTCAGTAGGTTGGGCTGTCGAACAGCCGCGTGGGATGCCCAGCAAGGCATTCAAATTTCCGCTCTTCCCAAGGAGACGAGCTGAAATCTTGCTTCTTTGGATTTCGAAACGATCTGAATGGCTCTTTCGAGCGCTGCTCAGGTTTTCTGAGTTTAGGATGGCATGAGCAATCATGTGAAAGTATCGTTTTCGCGGCAGGGAAAGAGTTTAGGTTGATGGGGAAGAGGGTTCTCCGATTGCATGCTCAAGCAAACAGATGTTTGGAGGAACAGTCCCGGGAGCAGGCAAGAAGGACTAATGCTGGTCTGTACGACCGTTCTATGGTTCAGAAGGCTACATCTTGTAGAGGTCTTTTACGTATTCTGTCTGGGTGTCCCCTTCTTTCCCTTCAGCTATATAATACACTTTCTAAAGTCTTATCTGTTTAGCGTTTCTAGAGATTGGGGCTTGAAGGTTTCAGGGCTGCGGACGTAGGATGTAAGGGCAAGGGTTCAGGTTTGGCGGGCTTTCAGTTCTTTAGTTCGGAGGGTGTGAGGTTTGAAGGCTCCATTTATTTTCGTGTAGACTGCTGCCGGTTAAATTCGGTTAAATGACTGATCACTCAGATTCTTGCTGCAATAGTTAACACCGCTGCAGCAGCGCGAGGAGCAACCTCTAGCTGGGAGATTCCCTACTTGATCAAGCCGGTGAGTCTCCTTGGGTTTTTCGCGGTTTAGGAGAGTACACAGAGCTGCGACCCACAAGATAAATCCATGCATGCAGAGAGCCCTTCGAGCTTCGGAGCACTTGGATGTTGTTCGTACTCAGTAGCTATACTTTCCATATACAAAGCCCCTAGTCATCCCAATATTCCCCCAACCATACACTGTTTATGGGTGAGAGATTCCCTAAGAGAGCACGTCATTGAAAGCGTCTCCGCCCGAGGACACGCAAGGCTGGTATGCGCTGTGCTCAGCCGGGGGTTAGGGTTTGGGGTTCAGGATTTTTAACGTTTAGGGTTGAGGGTCTCAAGTGAAAAAAGCAACGCCGGTTTTGGATGTTCTTACAGGTATCCCGTGGAAGCCATAGCAGAAGAGGAGCTCCAGGGTATGCAAGCATCAGTGGACAGAGTGACGGCCAACAAGCAACCTCCGCTCGATTTTTTGTAGCTCAAACTTGCAGCCCTGTGACAACTGTGATTTCCCCATAGGCTGCAGAGAACGAGGAACCCAGTTACGATTTCAAATCCGCTTGCGGCTGGCTTTTTCATAAGTCTCGGGACTTTTTTTGGGACATGCGTTTTTCTTACACTGGTGGTTAGTTGTGAGAGCGGGAATATGACCCTCTACATAATCCGTACATCTTAATTCGCTTGTTCCCTCCGAACTATCGGTAAGTTGTGGTGTTCGAGGGTTTTTCTGCGGGACAGCCAGCGTCAATTGGTATTTCACCGGCTCTAGTAACAAACAGGTAGCGGCTCTTCACGAATCCATTCCGGCCCCTGACTAAGTTCAGGTGATGTCATATGTAAGAAGACTATATTAGCGCAGTAGAACGGTGGAATTACAGGTAGTCACTGACAATCAAATTGTTTTTGTGGCCGCTGAGGTGAGTTCTACCCTTGAGACATGAATTTTCGCGGAGTGGGCCCAAAACTTCAGGTTCAAAGGTGTCAGAACTGCATGCGTCGTAGTGAAACGGGCGTGGCCGACAACATCAAGAAGAAGGGATAAGATGGTCCAAGCATCAAGCAGCTCGTCAACAGCACAACAGCATTTACATGTTTCAGAATACCCCACGGAGAGTAATGGCAGTACGAGCCTGAATGACACTGTTGAAGGAGGTAGCTCCTTCGCGTTTTGTCTGGTTGGACGCGGTGTCAGATACCAGATGTCTTGTTGAGGAAGGGCAATCGACACAGGTCGACTTGCAACAAGGAACAGAGCGCCATGTTACTCGTATCTTCTAGCCAAGCTCGTAGCTAGAATAGAACTCGGCAAGCCCGGAGTATGTTGCCTCGTTATGTTGCCAGCTTTAGTTTTTCTTACCTACTCATGACTCATGAGTAATTAAAAGCCCAGACCCTCGAACCTAAGCTTCAGCCCCAACCTACGAAAATCCTTCAATCCTTTGGTGGGACAGACCTTCTTCCAGTGCTTCACCAGGCATCAAAATGGGTGGGCGGGGGCGTGCCTTGCTTCCTGCTGGAGAGCGAGCCCTACACCCTGAGTTCAACCGCAAAACCATTGACCCTGAATCCCAAGAGCGCTGAACAAGCCCGAAAACCCTGAAGCATGGTACATGCGATCCCACACACACCCTGAGCCTCAAACCCCAAAGCTTGAAGCCTAAACCCTAAACTAAACTTTTGACCCTGCAAGCCTGAACCCCAAACCGTGAGCCCTTCAAGTCCCCAAATCCCAATTCCTAAAAACCAAACAAACCCGACACCCCGAGCAGTCCGCGCCAGCCTAGCGATGTGCGTGTTAAAGCCCTGAATCCGAAATCTCTGAGGATTTTGATCGGAGCCATGGGGCCGCCAGGAGCTGGCAGGACTGGGCCCCGGAAAGGCATGTGAGCCGGGATTACGTGAGTGATGGTCTCAACTCCTGAAAGAGTACTGTATAGGGGATTATATAAGGTTCCTGCTGTGAGGCTTGGTAGGGGGGATGCTTGGAGATTCATAGAACGACTCCATATTTACACTGACCATCTACCTACTGAAACAGTGAAGGTCGGGAGTTCTGCAAAAACCCAGTGGCCAAAAAAGGCATAGGCATAAACCCCTGACTAGAGGATTCGCATCTTTGCAAGGAATCCCCACAGTAGTCCCACCTATAAAATCCGAATTTAATCAGAGACTCGTAAGACTTGAGGCCGTTGTACGACCAAGGGCAAACATGGGGTCTGCCATGTGCTGGATTCCCATACTTTGAAACATCTGCCAGTTGAATTGCAAAAGTGCCGCGGCCATTTTGGGTCATTCGGCGGACCGAATGATTCGAAAGCAACTGGCCACATTGCGCCTCCTGTGACTGCATGGCCCACAGTTTAGGGTCTAAGTTTCGGGATGCTCAGGTTACCTGGATCTAGGATCCCGGCATCTACCTGCATGTTCAAACAGTGAAATGCAATCGGGAACCTATATAAAGCGAAACCGTGTCTGAAACTAGAGTTCTAGGATTCCAGGATTGCACTTTAATTTCTAATTCAATGTTAAAAGGAGTGTTTATTTGGACCAACACCAGCTCTACAAAACTGAAACTTTAGGTTTCCTGCTTGGGTTTCACATCAAATAAGTAGTATGGCAAGGAATCTAAAGATCCAGAGAGATTATTTTTTGTTAATGAAATCATAAAGGAATTGTAGAATATGGAAACACCTCCAAGACTAGACTTCCAGATTTCAGGAGTTTCGTCCAATATCCAAGTAGATTGCAGATATGAACCAAAACCAGAGGATTCTTGGTAGATTCGTGGCTTTCATTCATTGTTAACTAAACCAGATAAGGAGGTCATATGGACACAAGCCATCTCCAAAGCCAAAGAGCTAGGATCCCGGGATTTAACTTTCACTGAACCCTAACCCCACAAACTAGATGTCCTTACTCGAAGTCCCCAAATTGGAGGCGTTCTCGGCTTAAGGTAAACCTCAAGCTGAGGCCACAAAATCAACGACTTTTCCATGGAGGAAGTCGTGCCCCCATTCAAAGCATGGCAATACATGGGTTGTAGTCTAATCTTCTTAAAGCAGATTATCTAAGGGATTACCTGGGGTTCCTGCAGCGGGACCTCTTATGCTTTAGGGCTTACCTGGGCCCCACAAGTATGCAGAAGCATTGACGTTTGTTGTTGTTTGAGTTTTGGTCCATAGTTTTACCTGTGGGCGAACATGCAGTACTGTACTGTCACCAAAAAGTCATTTCTAGCAACAGCGCTGCACTGTCCCAAGCCGTGCACACAGTTTGTGGACAGTGTTTTAACGGTCGACCTCGCGTTGCAACCTTCCATCTACACTCGATTTTACCAGAAAGTCCCGCAGGGTTGGGATTCGGATCCTCATATGCCCTATAAGCCTAATTCCCTGGAGCCCAAGCTTCATGTAGGGTTGCAGGGAAGTCCTGGTTTTGAGGATTGTTGTCTTGAGTTTGTTTGGGACAGTGCAGCGTGGTTGCTAGAAATGGGGTTCTTGGTGACAGTACAGTACTGCATTTTCGCCGTCCGAGACTTCGATTGTGCCGTACTGTCCTCAAACTTTGCAGAAAACCGTCTGAACATGTTTGAGCTCACGTCATGCCAGTTGATGCATCGTCTTTTTGTCGTAATGTGGACTTATTGTTTGGTGGCTTCCTGCACTTTTGGTTTAAACTTCGAACTTAATCACCAGCTCATTGGGCCTATATACTACATCCTACACCCTGAATTCTCGAAACCAAAGACTCGAAAGCCCAAACTCTATTCTACCCGAGTCTCCAAGCTGCTGAAGCACTTGTTGTTGTGATTGAGGGATTTGTATGGCTGTGAAAGGGTCCGGTATCTGTGTGGCTTGGAGTGGTGGCTAGGGCGGCTAGGTCCGTGCATCACAACATGTATGGTATGAGTGACCAAGAGACTATAGGTTCTGTCCTGAGGTAAAAGGTTCAGGGTTCAGGGGGTTGGCGTTTAGCCTGTTGTTGCGATTTGCCACTTGCAGAAGCCATGCCATTCCCTTTTCCTGACGCCTAATCCTCGTGGACAGTGCTCCACGATACCAAACTCCACACTTCATTGGTTCTGTAGCTCCCAGTGCCTTCGGACTTAAGGTGACAAGTCTCCGTGCCTCCGCACCTGAATGGACACCATGGTCAGCTGTGGGTCACGTGATCCTTGGCAAGGCATTGCGGCAATAGTACCATTTGCAGTACCTGAGTACCGAGATCAGGTATGATCAGATTAGTCAGGGTTAGCAGTGCGCTAAGGATACCTGCCCCACACCATCCGCCGCCGGGCGTGCAGTGGCGCCGCGCTTACTTCCGGATGCTTTGCAAACCCAGCGTGCCTCCGCTACCAAAACCTTCGACCGAGGTGCGTACCTCTTCCACTCGACGTGTCGATCTTCGGCAGGGAAAGGCTTTTTGGGCTTGCCTCGCTCTTTTCGTGGGTATTTCCCTGTGTCGCCGGAAGTGACAAGGAATCGGGAGTTGAGTGTTGTAGGATGAGTCCTGCCGCGCAGATGCACAGCTAATGCAACAGGATGCTTGTGAGCACAGCAAAGACCGTCGTATGACGGGGGGGCAACCGACAGGAGGCATTGGGCCCTGGCCTGCAGGCACTTGAGTTACGGGTTTGGGTGGCCAGAAGTTTTCTGTCAGGAGGCCCTACTTTGTTAATTTGTTTGTCTCTGTATGACATGTAGTTGTATGACTGCTTATATGAAAAGTGAGTATGAGTATCACACGATGTCCCAGAAACACATACTCACGAAGACATAGACCTTTCCGGGCTTGTCATTGTGTTAGCGGTGAAATGCATAGACGGGTTGGAACAGTCTGCAAATCTATATGGAGTAGGGATGAGAATTTCAAGCTTCGGTTGGAATGTCAGGCCGCCAGTGCCATACTCCAGAAGCCGCATCACGGCGCCCTTCTTACACGCCATGCGGTGACCGGGCTGCGGTTTTGTCGGTTGCTCAATCAAGGCTCAGGATCAAGGCTTGAGGGGTTTTGGTTGAGGGAGGGCATGAGGACTCTTGTGGGAAGTGCCGTGTGCGGTGGCCCAAGGCCCATATGGTTCACCTCCAGCGCCCGGCGTTCCTGGATACACTGGCGATGTGTATCAGCGGTCTGGCACCAAGCCAATGGCCACAGAGGTCCCAAAATCTACAAGCCCCGCAATTGAAGGCCCTGTACTGTTTCTCTCTTTTTTGCGCAAGGCCCGTCATGATGGAGAAGGCGTTGTACGATGTCTGGGCCGATGTGGCGACAGTGGCGCCCCCGGTCACTCAGCTGCAGCACGGGCACTCTTGGGTCGTCCAGTTTCTTCTACAGGCTTGGGCCTGGAGGATGTGATGCCAAGACCTGCTCAACAAACCGGACATACAAAATGTGGCCGAAGGGCCAGTTCGTCAAATACGCTGATGTTTCCTGGCCAAAACCTCTATTCAGGCGATGCCACCCAGCCCTGCCGCACCGGCAGCTGAAATAGCATGATGCCATGTGCTGCTTGTGTTGGTGCTAGCAGCTCAACTCCCTGTAGGATCTTCTGTTTGTGCCACAGACGGGCCTGCCGGTATGTGAGATCTCTGAACATACGCTGCTCTTCGTGTCCCTGCAAGGCAGCAAGTTCGGAGAGCCCACGATCCAGCATTTTAAAGCTCCTCGGTGGCGCGGCGTAAAGACTTGCGCAAGGAACTGAAGAGAGCTGTACTGGTAACCTTTTCGCTGTACTCTCCACGTTGAGTATGATTTCATTCAAGCAGATGTTGATCCCGAGGCTTTGCGGGGCCTGGGGAGCGCTGGCCGCGGCACAGGCAGCTGCAGCCCAAAACCCTTTCTGAGCTTCCAGGAGTAGGTTGTAAAGGTTCCTTTGATGGTCTTTCTGATGTACTCATGTGGAGCAGGGGGCGGATCTAAGCGGGCCCAGCCTCACGTTGCCGACGAAATCAGCTTGGATAGGCTTTTTGGAAACCCAAATCCCTGATTGGGACTCTGAGCCCGGACACCAGAATTCTGCCCGTAGATGCAGTGGAACTGACCTCGAGTCTGCCCTCAGGTGTGGCTCGGCTAGAACTTTACAGCCCGGGTTTTGGTCCCGTTGGCCATGGTCTGAGGTTATAAAGTTACGGCTCACGGTACGCACGCGACTCATGATTGTCTTCTCATGGCAACCGGCCTACTCAGCCCCATCCTAAAGCTGCCCTGGCCAGGGCTTCCAGGCTCCCGGCGAGGTGGGGTCGGGGGGGGTTTCCAGCCTTCAGGGCTTTAGGATAACACATGAGTCGGCCAAGGCCTGTCACACTCCTTCTTACAGATAGGGCCATGATGGAGTTGCACAGCTCTCCCGAAGACAGCTCGGCTAGACTGAATGAGTGGTCGGGTGCCATTTGATGAGTGTCGTCCTCGCGAGTTATTGCTTCTTGCTGGATCTAAATCGCCAGTTTCGATTTGTGAACTATGTGCGTTCTGAATACTGCTTCTGCCTGAGCAGTGCCAACTATTTGCTGTTGAGCACATGGAGCTACCCTCGGACTAGACTGCACAGGTGTGCTTCAGGTAGCATGGATCAACTCTTGAGGTTTCTCCAATGTGAACCCTCAGCCCTAAAGCCAAGGCATCAGAGTCGACGCGTGAACAGCTAATCTCTGATACCCTTGGCCCGAAACTGCAGGGCGGAGGGTATCAAGCACCCGGAGCTGGCGCCTCAGAGTCGGTGTGAAGCCCTCAAGCCTAGTGACAAGAGCCTGTTTCCTTGGTGCTCGGCTCTGAGACGTTTTTGCGACGCTTGCCGCGCCAAGGCCTATGCCGGTCAACAGCAGCCGGGACCGGGTGCCGGCGGGTCGGACCATGAGCTGCCGCCTCTTCTTCTGCGTCTCCCTGTTGAAAGCCTTGAGCTTGTCTTTGACATCATCATTTGGTCGGCCCAAAAGTTTGGACAACCGGGTTCCAAGAACGCCTGCATGACTGGCCCTCGCCTGCGGGTCGCTCGGTTGATGATCCCAAAGCAGCTATCCAAAGTACGTACTATTGGGGTACATGGACCCTCAGAGAATGCTTCTGGATCCCTTAAAGGAACCCTGATGGTACCCTGAAAGGACCTTATTGGGGTACGAGTGACTTCGCTATGAGTCGTTTCACAGTTTCGTCAGCCACCACTTTTGAGGTACTTAGGCCTCTTTCGGCAGTGCTGTTTGCTGCTTGCAAGAGCTCGACTCACTGCGCGACAGTTTTCTTCGTGATCCTACTTTGCGCATGCCTACGAAAAGCCTGCGCTTCAGATTTTGGGGAGGGCATACTGACTTAGTTGGCAATTGGCATACTGTTCAGGCAGGCATTCCATGCACGCTGTTCATTGTAGCACCTTGCTGGCAAAGTGTTCCGGAGCACGTGTGTGAGAGAAACTTGGGAAACCTGCAGCGGGGGACATCGAGGGTGTTCTAAACATCCGTTTGCGAGCATGCGGAATTCATGTCATGCCAACTGTGGAAGCTGGCCCGAGGCAGGCAGCATCTTAACCAGAAGTCATGTGTATCGACATCCCTTGGACAGCGTCTACACGGCTCCGGGTTCTTGTGCTCCAGCAGCCCGAACTCCCAAATTCCATGCCCTTAAAACCTAATGCTCGGAATGGCGAAATGATGTGATTCCGACCTCAAAGTATTCTGTGGCGTTTACCTGTGCCCCGGCAGCTTTCCGGATTTTTGGGTTAAGGGTACCTGAACCCAAGCTTCATCCGCTTGGTGTGGTTGTGTTCGGCTCATCGGAAGCTGGTGGCAAGTTTGGAGTGTCGCCCGAAGCGAACATAAGCTTCGGATATACGAAGACTTAAAGAGCGCAAGAGATTGAAAGGTGAGGGCCTGTGCATGTTTTTGTCCTTGTCGGTATTTTGGCTGACTTTGCTTCTTCCTAAAGTGCTTAAAAGTGAGTATTGTGCTTAGCACTAGCAGTCAGCAGTGGTCTGCCTGTAAAAGGAACCGCGGGCAGAGACCGAAGCATGAGTGCGGACTCGGAGGCTCGGTTGATCATTCCATGATTTTTTGGACACCATGTCCAGCGTTTCGCTTTGCAAGTTTGCATGTTTATTGAAAGAGTCGGTACTTCCGCCGAACGAGAACTCCACCCAGAGCACGACACCATGTAACCTGGGTACGCAGTCTGAGGCAGGCAGACGCAATCTCACCGCACATGGCCAGGCACATCGGAAACGGCTGTGCCAAGAAGCGGGCAAGCAGCTCGCGAAGGCGCAGCAAGGCGGCTGCGGTGTAGGCATCAAGGTCTTGGAGGGCTTGAAGTGCCAATAGATGGAACTAAAGTTGCCGTGGTTCTAGACTTGGTGTGTGTCAATGTGCCGCAAGCCTCAAAAGCTTCGCTGCTGGCATCGTCCTCATGCCATTGAATCACCTGTCGCAGCAGGCACTCTGATTGCTCCGACCTATCTTGGTTGTTGAATCAGATCCTCGACGATCGACGTTGATAGTCGCCGCAATCAGAGAGTGTCACTTGTAGCCGGACAAGCCAAATCCTCAATGCCAAGAAGTCGTACAAACTGCAAGCATTGCGGCAACCCTGCGGAATCCCTCCTGGAGGTCAAAACTTCGAGGAGCTGACGCAGGCCGTGGCCGCGGCAGAGAAATGCGGCATTCGCATGGCCCTGACCTCGGTCTGCTGTGTTTGGGTTGCATGGAATTGTGGTCAAAGAGAAATCCTGGGTCTTGGAGGCTTTAGGGCCGCGGATCTTCGGTTTCGAGTTTCAGTCCACGAAACGGCCGAACAAAAATCAGCCCCTTCCAATGGCTTTTGAGGAGGAGATCGAGAAGGAGGCGGCGGTGCACTCCAAGCAATACGAGGCGCCTGGAAGGGAAGTCGGGAAGTCATGGGCTTAATCCGGAAAACTCTCGATTCTTCAACCCGTGGCCGCCTGGCCTCTTCACTGGAGCTGTGCCGTCTCATCGGCAAGCGATGCAGGAGGATGCCGTTGAGGTTCGCCGGGCCATTAACAGCAAGGACGAGGCGGCCCATGCATTCGTGAGCGTCGGGCGTGGTGCGGGTGGGGGGGGGTGGGGTACTGTAGGGCGAGCGTTTTGGAACATGTTCAGAAGCAAACGGTGTCCGGAAGAACCGATTAGTGATTCGTCCAAGCTTTTGTGCCGGACTCTTGACAGCTGCGACCCCTCCAGACGGAGCCAATCTGCGGATCTCATGTACGAAGGTTCTTGTTTGAAGGGCCTCGAGTCTTGAAGAGACCAGCCTATGGGCTTGAATGAAGTTTGGGAAGAATGCTCTCGCGCAAGCTCAACAATTCCAGCGTTTGACGTGATCCCTGGGAGCCTCGTTGCCCTTGCTGCTGATGCCTTCGGTGTTGCTGCAGTGCCGCCAAGACGACGACTTCTGCAGATCGCCTGAGAGTGCCCAACAACAGCCGGCAGTACAAAGAACAAAGACAATCACCAGCCCCGGAACAAACCGCACAGATGCTGGTGCTGCACTCTACTCGATTTCTACCTTCCCGAGGATGCCATGGTCTCCGCTCTCCGAGCTGCAGAGGCGAAGGGCTTCGAAGATTCGTTCTTGATGGGCCGCTCGGTCTTGAGACTTTGCGGGCTTGTTCAGAGTTATGCGTCCAAGTCAGCTTTTCGCGAAAAGCCTTCGTTGAACATTGATTCCCGGTCCTGGCAGGGCAGTGGGTTGCAATGGTGTCAGTCTGGCAACAGTAATGGTGCATCACAGTCGAAATCGTTATGGTGATGGTTGAAGTCGTGCATCAGAAAGAAGTACAGCAGATACAGCAGTCGTGGTGGTGGTCTTTGTACTGCTCGAGATCCTTGAATCGAGCATGCAAGAATTTGACCCAGACTGAATCAAAGCGAGTCGAGCCCCAACCTGTGGAACACTGCTTCAATGCTATTTGGTTTCTTATGACTGCCTCTGCAGCGCGGAGAGAACTGCTCCTAAACATGTAGGTCTGGTTTTAGGAAGCATGACAAAAGGTCAGAAATCGTAGAGTAGACGGTTTTTAGAGATCGAGGCGAACTCAGGGAGCAGTTGGCTGAGCTGCAGGCGTGCAGCAGATGGCTGGCAGAGTGCTGCACGATGGTTGTTGTAGCATGGTTCAGGGTTCGCAGAAAGTGCTTTGTGATCCCCCGACTACTTCCGAGACTACACTACAAGATGGGACCTGGTTGCATTCCGTGCATGGTGGCTTGAGATCCGTCTCAAGAGCTTACGTCCTCCTACTTCATACAGATCCAGCAAACATCTTCGGGGAGGCCGCAGTCTCAATCAAGCCGCATACCTTACACCCCGATTCGAGGCTTTCTGTTTGGTGTTTAAGTGCGGACGGAGGCCGCACGCGCGGCCGCCGCGCGGCGCTCTGATGCAGAGTCCCAGCTGGAGCGTGCCTTGGGGGAGGACTGACGAGGGTGTCGGATGCGGGGGTTTTGGAGCTTCTGACGTCTCAGGGCTGTGGGCGTCTCCTCGATGCTGGAATGGTGTCAGGTGGTTGGTGTCTACGGCACCGTCCAACACCCCTTAACTAAGGAGTTCTCTTCAAGTCAGACTTTGACCCCGGCTAGGCTGCGCTCTCTGGGCTCTAGGGCTATGCTCTATCGAATCCCGAAAGGCCCCCAAAGCCCTTCTAAGATTCTACGCGGTCTGAAAACCCAAACGTTTGATCCTCCAAATCCCATGGAGTTCTGCATGCCTCGCTTGGAGGATGCGAAAAGCCTGGAGAAGGCCATCGCCGAGGCAGCTGTCAGTGGCCGACGCCTCGGAGACGAATTTCGGTCCCGAGAGCAGCGCGTCGGGGGCGAGGGCTTGCCCCTAATCGACCCGAGCTTGAAAGCCATCAGATAGAGTGAAGCTGGCAGTCCGAGTTGAAGCTGTTTCCCTTTGCTGTGACTCTTTGTTTCCTTTCCGGGAGGTCTGTGTAGCTGAGGTGGGAGGTCGGAAACTCTCAGAGCTCATCGGGCTTGAATGTGTGTTGTTGATAGGTTTCTTTTTATTGAGTCCGACTTGGGCACTTGTGTGAACCATGGGATAAGCTGTAGATAAAACTCCCGGTTTGCAGCTGCAAGACGAAGGCCTGAGCTTGGCGCAGCTGGCGCCAGCTCGCAAACGCAAAGCAGAGCTCGAGGAAGTTCGACGGAAGGTTAACTTGGTGGTGATTGTTGAGTTTACGGTGGTCTCGGACATTATTCGGTTTACTGTTAGGATCGCAATTTCGGGGTAGATTTAGATTCAGGCACATAGCTGTAGGTTTGAGTACAGTGGATTGGTGCTTGCGCCCCATGAAACCAAGACGTCTATGCTGTTGTAGGTTTTCTGCGAGTGCTCCTGGGTTGACATTGAGGCTGGGGACTTGAGTTTAGTCATCGGCCGAGACGCGAGTCCAGAACCAAGCCTGCGTTTTCAAGCGTGAGCAACATGCTGAGACCAACAAATCCGAGATTCCACGCCCTTCAGCCTGAAATTGGGAGGCCCACAGCTTCAAGCCTTACATTTCTCAAGTTCCTACAGCTCCACATCCTAAATGCCACAAGCCCAAGTCCCGGAAATTCACAACGCCGAAAAGCCCCTTAACTTTCTTCATCCCCGAACACCTCTGTCTAAGGGCCTCCCCAACAGCTTCAGGAGCAGCGACGCCGTGAGCAGGGGCGGGAGGCTGCGGGTAGAGGAAATTCAGAGAGTTTGGCTTGGAGGTTCATGGGGGGCTTCTCAAGATTAGGGGCGCTGCATTCGACTGTCCCTGTGTGTAATAAAGATCTGATCTTACTGTTGAGGATGTTTACTCGACGTCCTGGATCACCTGAAGCGGTTCGACCAGGGTTCAGGGCTTGGTGGGACTTGGGAGTCAGGTCTGGGATTAGAGGGATTTCAGGGTTTTGTGGAACTGTATGGGATCGTTAAGATGTGCTGTGCCCGCGGAAGTGCACAAGAGCCGCCAAACATCGCAAAACCGCGAGGGCTCTGGGACTTGAGCTCAGGATGTAGAACACACTGAGCTGCAACCAGATGGTAACAAAGCTACGTTGCCCCCTAAGTCGCTTGCCCATCCCTTCCCAATCCCGCGGGGAAGGTTTTGGCCCGCCGGCTCAAGGCCGCGACTCGCACGGGAAACCCGAAGATCCTGGCTCAGGCAGCGGTGTGTGTGGGTTTGGAGATGTTTAGAGGGGAAACAGGCGTTGAAGCACAGCCGAAGCCCTACATTCTGAGCACCGGGCCGAAGCCCTCCTTGACCCCGAAGCCCTGCATGCCAACAGTAATCTCACTTTGGCAGGGAACCCCTGCACTCCACTTGCAGCTCCAGAGCCCGCCATGCAGGTCATCGCGGCAGCCGAGCGTGCCGGTGTGAGCAAGGAGGAGGCCTCGGAGAGACTCCATCCGATAGCCGAGCCTTTTCGCACCTCAAGCCATGGACCAATGGAGCTCAGGCTTCGAAGCTAAACCCCATGCAGATACCCCGAGAACTCCTAAGATGCCCGAGACCCAGCCTTTACCACAGAACGCCCCAAGTTAGCCTGTGCTCCAAATTGCATGATTGAAAGCATGGCCCTGAACAGCAACAACCTGACAATCCCAGCCCCCACGAAACCTCCGCTGCTTCTTTGGCAGGTCCGCGCTGCCCAGGAGATGGCAGACCGCTGGGCGGCGGAGGCCCGAGGCAAAGCACCAGTGGAGGAGGCGCTCTGGAGCTTGTTGAAAGCTTGGGTTTTTTCTGTTGAACAGGCCGAGGGTGTGGGTTGCAGGATTGATGTTCGAGGCCGAAAGCTCTGTGTTCAGGGCTTCGGATTCTATCAGTATCAATTGTATCAGCGGTGCTGCGTGTTATGCTCAAGGTGGTGCAGTGCTGTCGATGAATACCGATTCCAAAACCGTCGCCGTAAACCTTTGCAACACCAAAGATTTCTTTTTAAAGCCCTGCACCTGCATACGCGCGCTCCCGACCTCTGCCCTTTGTCTTCCAAGCTTCTCCATGTTGCTCGTAGCTGTCGGGTTGAAGGCTGCAGTCCGAATCTCCCAGCCCTGAAGAATCAATCAGCCAGGAGAGCTTGGAGATCCCAATCAATGCCTGGCTCAGGGTTCGCGAGCTTCATCTAGGTTACTGCCGAGACTTGACTCCTTAAGACCCTGAACCTTGAACCCAAAGCTCAAACCCTAACCTCCGAAAGGCAAATCCCCGAATCAGAACAACGCACAACACCTTGACGCCTCCGTCTTGAGCTGCGAGAGCTCAGGCACCGAAGGAGCCACTGCCAGGTCCAGAGCCCAAGGCAGGGGCTCCTTCAAGGGCTCAACGGGGGATCTGTTGGGCTTCGGGGTGTCGACCCTCCATGCCAGCGTAGATCCCAGACAGTGAGCGACCCACTTTCGACAATACCCTGGAGCAGAAGGTAGACCCTTCGAGTGCACTAGAGAACTTGAAAAGGGAAGCAAATAACTTTGTGACGGTGTTAGGGAAGTGCGGAAGAAGAGCAGAGCGCCGCAACGGGATTTCAGAAGTGGAGAAAGACTGGAAGTTTACAAGCAGCTTGCTGGAAAAGAGATGGGAGAAAGTCAGAAAACCTGAAGCGACCGGCTCGAGAGGAACTAGACATTTTGTCAGAAAGAGGAGCCCAGCATTGGAAAGAGGTTAAGTGTTGACAGACTGCGGATCCGGATATTTGGTGATTCGACATCAACGGATATCAAGGGCTTACAGCTGAAGGCTCGCGGATGGTGAGAAACACTTGGTTTCAGCCAACCCTTGCAAACCTCGTGACTTACAAAGACTCCACACCTTTAAGGGCCTCTACACCTTAATCCATCGATTTCGAAGCTTAAGCCACCAAGCCGTAAACCCCAAACGCTGGTTTGCTTCGCGGAGGTGCGGCGGGTGAACGAGGAACCGGACGCGGCCTCAATCCTTGCCTTGGCCACCATCGGCAAGGACGGGCTCGGGGAAGGGTCGTGCAGGGGGCTTTGGGTCTTTGCAGGGCTTCATCTTTAGTGGGGCTTCGAGCTTGATAAGCTGCTCTTAACAAGTCACCTTGATTGGAGCCTGGCGGCCTGTTCTTATGTACTAAACTTCTGCTTACGCGACATGCCTTCAAAAGGAATCGTCCCGCCTGAACACAGCACTCATGAAGCCATTGGAGCTGCCAGGAGCCCTGCAAGCAACGGACAAGAACCTCCCCAACAGACCCGAACAACCCACGAAATGTCCCTCTATACCGTTTTACACGCCGCTCTGATAGGCCCCGTACCAGTACCTTGAAGCCCAAGACTCTTAATCTTAGAACCCTTGTAAGTACTTCTTTCGAAGAGACTCCGGAGTCGAGGATGTTGCAGCTTTGGAGTCCGCGCTCTCCATCGCCAGATCACAGGTGCCTTTGGTTGTAGGTGTCAAGAAGCGGCTTCCGCAAAGATGCTTCAGGGTTTGTGGCAGAATGCTTTTGAATTGGGCTTTGTGTTCGGTGTCGTGGCATTTCCTGAGATCTAAATTGGCTTCGAGCTCATGTTCATGTTGCAGGATGGCAAATCATTCAGGAACAGAGCTGTTTGGGGTTGCCAGAATTCGCTTGTTGTTCATGGCCCTAAAGAAGACGTGTGCACTGCAGCCTTGCAAAGCCACGTGTGAACCCAAGGCCTCGAGTGAATCAAAGCCTTGAACTCGCAGCTAGTCCCCGAGGCCCAAAATCCCAAACTCAAGGGCCGAAATTGGCCAAGCTGTATTTAAACTTACATCGGAAGACAATGTGGAGACCCTTCTCAAAGCAGTTCTCAAGGGATCTTCAATTTCTGGAAAGCCACCATGTCGAGGCCCTCTCAACCCAAAACGCGATAACCTCAGCCCCCCTCCACCGAAATCCCAAAGCTCCATCAAATCCCCTCTCAACTTTCCCGCAATCGCCAACGCCTGGAACCTAAGGTCCAAAGACCTTCAGCTCCAAAACCGCAAAAACGTAAGCCCCAAGACCCCAAGGACTCCTTGGACCTCCTACCATGCCAAAACGGCCCACTCCGAAATCCTTTATATACAAGCTTTGCCCCCAACCCAGCGCCCTCCTTTAAAGGGTCCCTTCTCTTGGGCCCTTTCGCAGGCTTCCGAGGTCGACGAGGCAGATCTGCACATCGCCCACCGGCGCCTCGAGGCCTTGCGGAAGGTGCGGGGAAAGCTTGGGGGGGTCTCCGGGGCTCACGGGGGGAGGCATGATTTGTTGAAGGCGTAAGTAGGTTTGACATCAGGGCCTTCGGAATTCAGTCTCCGACGATTCTGCAAGTTCATCCAGGCGGATCCTTCATTGCTCGATCATTCCGAGCTCGAGTTAACCTCTTAGGCCCGTAGAGTCGTCAGTCTGAGTCTATGACCATACCTTGGAGATCCATGAAACGCCAGGCCCCTTCACTTCCATTGCTTGAACGCACAAAACGCTGTCTACATGCTTGAAAGCTCATTTTTGGGTCAGTTATAAGTCACTGCAAGTTCTGCGCAATAGTGCAAATATGCAGACACAGCTCATTTGGCAAAACAAGCTGCCCGAGCGTGCACGTGCACCTTCTCGTGCTACTGTTGCAAAGCATGTCAGCGGCAATGACGCAATGCGTGAAGAATAGTTCCTGAGTCAGGAGTAATTAATCCTTTACGCTCCGACCGTTTGCTGAAAGTACAGCTCCGCTTTCGCTTCCAGAATCTTGAGTTCATCAATACGCCCATTCCGGGGAGACCTGGGTAGCAGCTAGTTGCCTGCAGGAGGACCAGGAAGGCTGGCGGTTCGCATGGATTTGATGGTTGCAGGTCTCAACGTCTTGTGTCACCCAAAATCGGCAAGGGTTCTGCCAGGTCAAAACATGTACCTTTTTCCCCGCTGGAACTCGAGAGCCTGAAGCGCTCCGCGCCCCCATAGCCTTTTCAAACCGGGAGGCTCAAGCGGCCCCACCCCGTGGTGCTGGGGTGGAAGCACCTGATGCAGCCAGCGGAGAGCAAAGACACGGCTTTTTCAGTCCCTGGGAGCCCCAGGATGCCTGCCCGATTGTGTTTCAGGTTCAGTCCGATTTGGAAGGCTCTTTCCATGTTGCTATTGTGGCGGTTCCGGCCGACGGGAGCCGTGGTCCCTGGCATGGTTTGCTAGGGAGCCGTGAGCTAGCCAAAGCATCCCTCACATGCACCAATGCCGTAAGTTCCGTTCCGAGCCTGCGCGCCTGCTGCGGCCAAAAAGGACCTCAGCGGTCTCCCAAGCAGCGACTCGCTCTTCCCGGATCCCTTCCGCCTCTTCTCCGACGCCCATGGCTCCCAAAACTGCGCCGAAGGCCAAGGCGTGAACTTGGGAGGGGGACTCAGCTCGCGAAACTTTCGAGCGTTACAGTACAAGCTTGGGGTTTGAGACCTTTCGAGACTTCAGGGCTTCCAAAGGCGAACTCCAAGTTTGAAAGCCCAGCACCAACACTGTAGCGAGGCAGACGCAAAGCCCAAGCCAGACGCCAAGGCCAAGGGAAAGGTTGCTGGGCAGCGTTTAAACTCTAGAGAGCTCAGGGTGCAGTTTCCTCGGTGGCTATGGCTGTAGACGCAGTGAAAGGCTGAGAGTGTGAGCGCTGTCTGTGTGTACATCACGGAGCCTCGTTTGCCTTGCAAGTGCAAGGCTGTTCGCGCCCACAGACAATGAAACAATCAAAAAAGGCTGAGATCCCCAAGCACCTCCCCTCTGCACATTCATCATGATGAAGCTTCGGAGAGAACGAGTTCAGGCGCGCGAAGACATTTGGCACGTGTGCTCAACCTGCTAAGCTGCAAACTTCTCCTTTCTGTTTGAATGAGGTCAAGAAGGATGAGGTGGAGGACCTACATATGATTTGAAGGGGCACTGCCGGCTTCAGACGAAGGGTTGGTGAGACCATGGGCGTGGTCCTGGCATCCGCGCTGAAGTCTATTGTATCTGGCTTTTGCTCCTGTAACGCCTTCACGTTCGCAACGATTTTCCTCGAACAGATTTACATGACCTTTGCAGTAAGTGTTCAGTATCCGTGGTTTGCTGAGGTGCTTTCGGGTTTCGAGGGGCTTCTGGTTTTGCAATTCAGAATTTTGAGAGATCGGGCCTCGGCAGAGAGCACTGTTGAACGTCTTTCCTCGGGGAAAAATTTTTGGATCAGGCTGGTGGGATACATACTGAATCTCCCAAGCCCCTTTTTCCCACGTGAAAGGTTTTAACTGTAGATGGCAGAAGAGAATGCGCGGTACCTTCACGTCCGATTGCACAACTCAACACCCGAAACGCATGTGTTTGTGTGATGTTTCTGATTTTTTCGTACACACACACACACACGCACGTACACGTCTACATCTACATCTTGATCCATGCATGCATGCATACATACATGCATACATGTATATTTCCATTTCTACGTATTATGGTGTTGTTGAAAAGAGGAGGAGAAGCCGAAATTCGTGCCGCCGAACCGCGAGGAGTTCGATGCCCAGGCGGCCTTCAGAATCAAGTCGTATCTGGTGGAACAGGGGTTAGGAAACGAAACAATGAGTTCCTAAGCTCCGCCGTTTCTTGGCTCACCCTGCTTCAGCGTCGTGACTGGAAGAGTTCGCATGGTTTTGGAGTTCCGAAGATTGGAATGTAGGCTTCGGGGCATCGAGACGAGTGTTGTTGAGACACCATATGGTGTTCTGTGGCTTCCTGCATGATAAAAAGGGATACAACTCTGACTACTGCGTCGTATAAACCCGACGAGCGCAGAATGCTTAGGAACACCATTCACAACCCCACAGCCCAAAACCAACGAAGTCTTGATCTCAAGCCGCTCCTCCGATCAGATCGAGAAGTTCAAGACGGAGATCGACAAGCTGCAAAGCAAGCAAAAGGCTTTGTCCGAAAAGATTCAGGACTCCGGATAGGATGCATGAGGCATCGCTGACGCAAAGAAAGCTTGAGGTCAAATCCGGAACCCAAAGCGGAACCCCAAGGACCCTTGGAATCTAGCATTCAAAAAAGACTCTTGGGTGTTTGGGAGCTTGTCGGAAGCTCTAACCCCAAACCCTAAGCTTGACAAAGCCGGAAGCTCTAGGACCTGAATCCTTCAGCCCCCGAAAAAACCCTAGACCCTAGAGCCTAAGCTCTAGACCCTTACGTTCGTAAGCATCGCAGCAGGAGCATTCCGGAGGAAAGGATGAGTTTTACGCTAAGAAGGCGAGGAGTCTATGCGTTTATATAGACTCCAATAATGGCCGGTGGTTCGGCATCCTTTGCTGGTCTTTAAGTAACAAGTGGGTCTACAACAAGGACACGTATGAGGCATGCGTAAGGGTTTATACGGTTTGGAGTCTGTGAGTCTCTGGGATGATGTTCAGGCCTAGGCTTAGGGTAGACTTTCGACAGGTTCGGGATGTGCAGCTTGCGATACGAATTTGTATGTTCGCTGGAAGATCTTTGTGCAATTTGCTTCTTTCATATCTCTGATGGCCGAGCCGTTCCTAAACGGGAGTTGAAAGCTCTTGTACCTTAGAGGTCTTCCCAATTGTCGGGCAGGGTCAGGGTGCCGAGAATGAGCAAGAGGATGTCGAGATATGAGTTCCGCTTGTTTTCGGAATCCTTGGGACTGGGTGTAGGGAGGCGGTACTTGGGATAGGGGATGAAGGTTTCAAGGCATGGGGGGTGCAGAAGTGAGCCAAAGAAGTTCCCTTAGCCTCAGATCTCATCGTCTCATCGTGTCATGTGGAGCCTCTCAGGCCGAGCTCCGTGCGCAGCTGGACGAGCTGAGTGGCAAGATCGATGGGCTCCAGGCGTCGGGGCTTACAGAGAGGGCTGTTTTTTGTGTGCATTTGTGCAACGAAGGCTTCAGGGATTTACGGTTTGCAGGGCAGCAGAGTTTGGTTGTCGGGGTTAGAATCTTAGGGTTAGGGACTCCTGGCGTTTCGTTGCGAAGCTCGCGAGCGAGGCTCGGAAGGAGGAGATCAACAGGGCGGTTGGCAGCAAGCGAGACGAGGAGCCGACGTGGAGGCTTTCCGAAGCTGCGGTTCGCTTTTGAGGTGCTTGCGACTGCTGGACTCCTTAGGCAGAGGTTCTTTCTTCAGTTCGTTGATATTGGTCGTGTTGTGAAAAGCGGCCTTTCCTCCCATCGGCCCCGGCTTGATGGTTACGGAAAAAAAGAAGCTTCCCGCTTCCCGAGGAGCGAGAGAAGCGAAATACCCTCAACACGATGAAGCATCTCGGGCTGAGACGGTAGAGGCTTTCAGGCTTATGGCCCATGGCTTCTGCCACGTGCACCGCAGTCATTCGACAAAACCCCGCCGGAGCTACAGACCCAGATCCCAAACAGACAGGCCAAACTCAAACTGAGTTGCGCTCCGATATTTTTTGACAAGCGGAGCCCTTGACCTCGGGTTTGATAATTAAGGCTACGGGGTCGCGAGTTGCGGATTCGACATTCGGAGTGAAGGACTCAGGATTTCCTGCTTCGCAGTGTAGGGCTTCGGAAAGAAGAAGGCGTTTGCCCATATTTCGCTCACCAATCCTGCAGTGTCAAGCTGAAATGCCGAAGCCCACAGCCAGAAGACCCTAAACCTTCGACCCTAAAGCCCCAGAGCCCTAAAGCCCTCAATCAAGCCAAATTAATGCTTCCCCGCCTTTGCCCAGGAAGTCCATTGGCTTTTCCAGCGAGGGGGACATCGATAACCGCATCGCTTCTATCGAGTTTCAGTCGCTTCGGCTGCCGTAGAGTTTGAGTGCAAGGGTGCTAAAAGAAGGGGGGTTACAATCACATTAGAGGGTTGGTGGGTTTCGTGTGGAGGCAAGCGGATTCGTGATCTTGTTGTTCCGATAAGTACCTGCATTATTGGGTCCGTGGCTGTTGTCCTGGTTTTTGTGCTTCATCGCTCGGCGCGAGATGTTGTTCCAGGTACGGGACCCGCATACGGGGACCGACGCAACCTTTGTGTGCGATCTAGGTTCCCCATGTTTCTTAATCAGAAAGTCTGCGTCCAGGCTTTGCACCGAGTCGGTTCCTCTCAAGGCTTGGGGTGCCTCTTCGAGTTTTGAGGGGGCATCAAGGGCTTGCAAGGCTTCGAAGGCACAACGAGGGATTTTCAGCGTGCGGAAGAAGCCGGCGTGTGCTTGGGGAAGAGACCCGCATTGGGAACCCTCCTAAGTCCTGCCATCTTCAGGCACAGATTTTGTTGAACTCGGCAGCAAGTCCGTGCAAACCGCTGCCAAGCAGGAACCCCTACTGCTTGACGCCTTCACCTCCAATCCGTAAGCACGGAACCCGTGAAGCCCTGGCTGAGGCCAGCCCTCACCACCTCCCCGAACTCTTGGAGCCTTCCAAAAGAGGAGGAGAAGAAGCTCCTGGCCGAGATCCAGCAGCTCAAGAAGAACCGAACTAAGGCCTGTTTGGGGGATTTCGGCCTTGGGCGGTTTTGTGGGGCTTGGCTTGGACTTCTGCTTTGGGGGTTGCAGCGGTTTTGACGCTTAGGCCCAGGTTGATTCCGGATTCCCACGGCCGGCAGTTTACATAGGGTGGCAATGAGACCGGGTTCAGGGGTGAATCCTTTGGCTTCCACAGGTCTAACAGCCCACTAGCAGCTCTACGGCTGACCATAATACTCTGAGCCCTCCTCTTTTCATGCCTGCAACCAAAGTAGGCCTTGAACCGAAACCATCCCCAGCCTTCAAAACCCAAGCAACTTTCAGCCCTAGCCCTACACCGCGACGGGGCCTGCCTCAGGTCAGCCACATGCAGCAGATGGAACAGAGCCCTGGTGATCCAAAGTCGAATGTGAGGCCCGGAGTGTGGGCTTCGAAGGCACAGGTAGTGAAGCGCATTGAAAAGGAATGCCGGTGAAGGCACTGACGTTTTCCGAGTTGGGGTCACTGGTCACTTGCTGAACCGCTTGGTTGAAGGTACCGGTACCGTATCATGTGGTTGATATCCGGTCGACGGGGTTTCTTGCCGGCTTTATAGGGTGGTGAGAAATTCAATGTAACTTTACCGGCAATCGTAGCTCAAAACACGTTCCATGGCCAGGGGCTAGTTTGGCCTTGGAGCTACTACCCCTCATTTGATTTATGTGGGTACAGAGCCAGGGCTTTGCGTTCATTGGTCGGGCTTGGTTGGGGATCCGATCCGAGTTCTGCCGCGAGTTTATCGGACGGTTTACAGGGGCCTGTGGTCTGCTTACGGTTTTTTTGGGCGCAAGGGCCTTGGGGTTTAAAGTCACGGGTAGAACTTCAGGAGAATGATCCAAGGGTTTAGGTTGCAAGATCCCCGGAGCTTTGTCAGCCTAGGAACCTTTCCACGGTTGACCCGACGATGTCCATGAAGGAACAGAAGGCGGGAGTACCGTTAGGAGTCCTACCGCAAACCCTGTAGACTAGTGGACCGTAGACCCCTAAACCCCTCTATCCCAAAGCTGGGTTCTCGTGCAGGAGCTTGGTTTACATTTACGTCACCCGATGGGGATGCATTGTCCGTGGTATGCTCTCTTCATTATGCTAAATCCTGTCAGCTCCGAGCCCTAGACCAGCAATCCCTATAACAGGGTTCCTTTCGTTGTGGTTCTGAACCCGGCTCGCTGTGCTTTTCGTGCCTGGCCTTCTGTTAGCCAGTAGGATCATGTCCCTAGGCCCTAGGCCCACAAAGCTGGAGACCGTTGAACTCTACAGCCTAAACCGGGGCCTACACCCTGACCGCAACTTCTGGCAAGCCAATCTATCTTTCGACATGGCAGTTTCAGAAAATGTTGAGAAACGTATCTGGGGCCGCTAAAATAAATCTTACATATCGCAGGACCATCATTTATCGAGACCCCTGAGAAGGCTCACCGAACTTAAAAACCTCGGGGCAACCCTGCAACGGCCTTTCAGGATGCCATCAACGAGGAGATGAACAGGTACCGCGACGAAAAGCGCAAGATTCAGGACTAAGCTCAACGGCTCTCATCTTGACACTTCTGCTGAGAACCCCCGGACCCCCTACTCTTGAACCCGACTTCTTGGGCATCTTGGGCAAAGAGCCTGGACGATCTGGGTAAAGAGAGGGAGGCGAAGTAGTGTCTAGAAGTTCAGGGATCAGGAAGCATGCGCCGCCCTCCAAAAAGGCTGGGGTTTCGGTCATCCTTAACCCTTGACAGTCAACAGATCTTGGGTTCCAGGGAAATGATCCCTATATGTTTCTTCATCTGAGAACGAGAGTCGTATGACAAGGGTCAACTTGAAGCTACTCTTCCGATTCATCGCCTTGCAGCAGACAGAGTGATTGGTTGCTGTTCTTCTTCTTGTTCTTCTTCCGGTTCATCATAGCCATCGGCACCATCGCTAATTCTCGACTCTTTGAAGTACTCCTGCGGCAGACGCCATGTCTGCTGGCTCATTTTTGGTAACGTCGCTGCTCCAGTTTGGGACTGCGCAGTCATCATAGATGGTTGTTCTCGTGCTACGCTTTTGCTTCTGATTTTGGCGCAGGAACAGATGACCGAACTCTCCGAGGCACGCAAGCAGCAGCTGGGACCCATCGAGGCGCTGAGGGATAGCAGGTTTCCAAGGTTCGCCGCAGGGCCCTCATAGTACTTGTGGTTTGACAAGTTTTTGGGTAGAATCATGTATATATATATATATATATAGGTTCTTCTCCCATTTGCAGCGTTTTTTTTCCAGGTTGTTTTCGGTGTAAACGCTTCACGTATGAGCAGTAACTTGTGAACGATGTGGCTCTGGTTGCGCGGCTGCTTGGATACGGGGTTTTGGTGTGAGGGGACTTCGGAACGACATCCCTTAAGTGAGCCGCAAACCTTCAAGACCCAATCAAAGACCTTGCACCTCGCGTCCGACAGTCTCAAGCGCAGCCTGGTGAACTTTCTTGAGTACTCTAAAAATCCAAACCCCAAACCTCAACGACAAAGTGTCTCAATTCCCCAGACCACAGGAGATTCAGAACCAGCGCGGCGCAGTGAGCGATGAGCTGAAGGCGAAAATCGAGGATCCCTGGCTACCGGTGCTGCTCCATGCAGTTCTTACGACCAGAAACCACCGCCAACACCAGCACACCCACCCACACCCACCACAACCGGCTCGCCGCCGCCACCACTGCTGAAACGACGGGAGTTGTTCACGATCGTCGTCGTCGTCATCATCATCATCGTGCTCACTATGACACGCTTAGCGATTAGCCATCTCCTGCACCATCACCCACGCAACCCACCTGTTATGATCATTTCATGACCTGTCATAACGACCATCAGGAATCACCACCACCATCGCCGCCATGATCACTGTCATCATGATCGGTAGGACAGATTTGCCCGTAGGACCAGTTCGCTGTCAGAACCATCGTGGGGACAACCATTGGCATGTGCGTGGCAAGGTCAAAAATGGCAAGAATCGGCCAGGGATAGGACTCGAAATTGGGATTCGGGTCCATGGCCTCCTTGACAGGCCTGGGTCTTCAACGTTCACAGGGTGTTTCGGCTCGTAACTTTTGCGCTGAGCCATAGCAGACACCAGAAATCGGTGCCCGAGAGTTCCGCGGAGGAGCGCAACAAGTTTCGGGATGAGTTCCGCCAGAAGGAGCTACGACACAGGGTTTTGGCTGCCAGGTTGGTGGTTCAAAGCTTGGGCCGCCAGATTGAGAGTTAAGGGTGTGCAGTGCAAGCGTCCGAGAGAAAGTCCTTGCTTGGCCGGGTAAGTAGATACCCCAAACCAAGGAACCTCGCGCCGGATCGTCGAGCCGCGATCGATCGCCGCCCCAAACCCAAAAATCGGTCACAGCAGGAGCGAGAATACAACCAGTACCTGGCAGAGCAGAGGCGTGTGAGACAGGCGCCGAGCTTTGGCAGTGCTCGTTGTTGGCAAAACGCGAGGCCTTGGCACTCGCGAGACTCTCGGGTTGGGACGTGGCATTGCTTAGCTTTGGGATGCTTGACACCCTCAGATTTGGTTGACTCCCAAATCGACAAGCCTGAGAAGTTTCCGAAGCCCTTTTCAGGTCCTGCAAAAACCGCTTAACGAGATGGTATCCTCACATCTGCCTTCAAGATTGTCTTTGTTCTGTCCGGCTGGGCGCCGACATCCTAAGCCTCAAGGCCCCGCCGTACTAGTAATTAGGGGAGGAGGGGATCAGCGCCTTGAGCTTCACTTGGTAGCAGGAGAAGTATGCAGCCGAGAAGGCCGAGAGGCAGAAGGACCGGCGAGTGGCGGGTTCGAGGGGCCTCCGGAGAGAGTTTCCTTCGGCTGATGGGGCTTCAGGTTGTGCCAAGTTTTGGGCGGAGCATTGCCTTTATAGCTCCTTGTGGGAGTGTCGAAAAACTAAGTTACCCCAGTGAAGGAGTACGACCTGCGCCGCAAGCAGCGCGAGGCGGCGTTGAGATTTAGGACTTAAGAATGCTCCTAACGCTGAAGTTCGGCTATGACCGGGTGATGGGGCCCCTATACACCTTGAGGTTTCAAGGCTTTTCGGGGGGTGGTTTAGGTGGGCATGTGTCCTTGAGATGGGGTGATTGAGGGTTCAGTTTCAACGATTGAAGCTTGGACAGGGGTTATCCCAAGATGCAACATGTGGAGACGAGTCGGATGTCTGCACAGGGGAAGCTTAATGCAGCTACCCTAGAGCCTTGCAGCCTTAAGCCTTGCGGCCGGAACCCCAGTCAGATCCTGCGCTTCGGAATGGATAAACGCATCAGACCCCAGACTTTGAGCCACGCAAGAAACTTTTCCCTGATCAGCTCTTGGCCTATGCTGAATCAACCTAAAGCCAGCCCGCAAAACTCTTGCTACGCTACACTCATGAAAGAGGCGAAAAGAGACGCCGAACATCCGAGTCAGACTCGGAGTGACTGGACGCAGCCCACACAAGTCCTCAAGCCCATGTTCTGATTCCCTGATTCTTGGATGCGGCCTGAATCGAAGCTTTCAGCATTATCATTATATCTAAATCCGCAACCTCACCAGCCGAATCTGAAGCCCTCGACCATACCGAAAGGCGGAGAAGCTCGATGACCAGCCATACGTTGCGGAGATCACGCTGATCGCTCCCCAGATGCAGTGGCCATAGTTCGGAGTCGTCTAGGTTTTCCGGTTGGGGCTTGCGTGCTGTGCTCGACACAGGCTTCGAAATGGCTTCCGATGGTAGAAGCCATATAATTCCATACTTCCATAGTCATCTCAGATCCTGGTCTTGATCCAAACCGAGGAGCAGACCATGAAATTCTGCCAGGGCCTGGTGCAATCCAAGGTCCGCTTGTGCGATGTCGCAAGCGCTACAATTATTGCTTTACGTTGGAAATTACAATCCCTCTAAGATCTCTGTTGAGATGTTGTGGTTGGGTCCTCTTGTTCCTGTGGTGATGCACATTTCTGTAACCCATTACCTGTCTGCGGGCTTGAGCAAGGAGCACAGTGTAGCAGTGGGTTAGACTTGGTGGCAGAAGTCGAAGCTACGGTCAAGTCCCGACCCGGTGAGTGGGTCCGAGAAGCATGAACTCCTAAGATTTTTCGGCCCGATGGAGAAGCCAGCCTCGAACCCGAAGCCAGCGTGCATTACATACCTTGGGAACAGCCGCCGTTGGTATAGCGTCATCTTTGCAGGACCGCCAAGAGTACAGGTCTACTTGGTAGGGTTGTTATTTGTTTCGGGTTTTGCAGACGGACGTGTGTCGTGTTGTTTGAGAACACTTATGCTCAGCCGTGCAGCTTGGAGGCGCGTGCCTCGCCCTCGAAGTCTTCTTCATTCTGTTTTCGTCAAAAATCTTGGGGCGTTTCTGGTTCTGCCTTTCGAGCCCTTGGTTTGGGGCTACTGCCCCCAGCTTTGCGCGCGAGAGTTTCATGATTCAGGGTTTGTTTGGGCTTGGGGGGTGAGACAGGTTGAGGACAAGTCGGACGAGAAGAAGGAGGTTTCCCACGAGAACGTGGACGGATGTGAGATTCTGCTGCGCAAGGAGGCCCAGTCTCAGCAGACTTTAGCGGAGCGTTGAATGAATTCCAGCAAAAGTGCAGGACCGCGAGGAGGAGTTCTACTTCGCACCGCTTAAGGGCAAGAAGGACAAGAACAAGAAGAAAGGACCGGTAACATGGTCGGTCAGCATAGCATGCTGGGCGAACCTTCTTCTCAGTGTTTTCGCATTTGTGATTGTTGACTGCAGCTAGTGTGTGGCATTAGTAGTGCATGTAGTATGAGGCAGAGTTATCGGGCAACTAGTCCCGAAGTTCCTGTGCGACTGCTGAGACCAGTTGCTCGTGACACCGTTCTGGTGTTATAAAGGCTTTAGAAAAAATTGGTACCTCATTTCTTTTTATCGGGTCCTTGTGCTTTGGGATTTTCATTATCAGAAACTGGCAGCTGAAGGCTCACATGAGCATTGTCGCCAGCATCAGCAGCATCGTCGCCTCCCTCATCACCGCAAACACAACCTTGACGTAGATGCGATCAGGTTGTCAGTAGCTTCAGCACGATGCCACCACAATGCAGCCACGAGCAACAGCGAGCAGCAGGGGGACAAGGACGCTCTCCAAGCCGTTTCGATAGGAGCCGGTGAGACGAAGGCTGCAAAGATTACCCACAACGCTGAGACCTTCCGTTTGCTCTTCGAATGCAAGTCAAGATCCGGTGGGGTTCAGAAAATTCGCACAAATCCTAGGCTCGTTGTGTCGACATACCGTAAAAGAGTTTGACCGGAGCTTTGTCAGGCCTCGACCCACTCATTGCTGAAGACCCAAGTCACAGTTTAGGACCCAGCGCAAACTCAAACCCCCTGAACCAACAAGACATCGAATGCAACAACCTGTAAACCACACAGCAAATTCAAGAGAAACACGCAGCCCCCAAACCTTAACTTGCGTCCTCTCTCCCCCGTGAAAAAGATCGAGAAAGCCCCAACTAACCGTGGGAGTGAAAGCCGACTGAGGTTTGACCAACTCAAGCTCGATGCACCCCTTTCGACGGACCAGGCTCGGCAGCTCAGGAAAGAAGGCCTTGCCTGTCCATTTTTGCGGTTCCAGTAGGGTTTGATTTAAAAGTCATGGTAGGGCTCATGCGGTCCGTGAGCGTCTGTCTGGCATCAGGTTTTGGACTTTGAAGTTCAGTTAGTATGCTTTAATACCTTCATCTAGGCCTTGATTCCGCCCCGCCCCTTTTGGTAAATCGTCGGGCTTACCTTAACGCTAAAACCTGCAGCCCCAAGCCCCACATTCCAAACCCCAAGCAACCCTGTAGCCCCCCACACTGCACCTTTTGGGGTCCGAGCCCTCGCCCGAACAACCGGAAAGTTTCGGTGCGACTCAAAGCAGGTGCCGGGTCTTTTGGAGAAGCTAACGGAGCAGCTGGCCGACTACCAGGCTCAGAGAGCAACATTGGCTATGTGGTTATGATGAAGCCATTGCAGAGCCTTCGAAAGAGCCATGTAGGCTATATAGAGTTCTTAGGGCTTTGATGAGGGCTCTACAGTGGTTCTGCAAGTGGTCTGGGGGGTTCGCTAGAGTTAAAGTCCCCTTCAGGGTGCCTTGTTTTTTTAGAGAGGCCATCATTTTCGAGGTTCCAAAAAGTGATTCTAAAAGGAGAGAGCAAGCCAGATCGGGGCCTCAGTGACACCAAGCCATAAGCCCCGGCCGAACAAGGGGACCAAGTTTTGGGCTCTAAGCTCCCGACTGTTTTGGGGATATGCGGACGGATAACGGAACAAGAGGGAGCTTTTCCGAGTATCTCGAACTCCCAAAGCCCACCGCTCCAGATTTCAAGCCCCATGTGCATAACCTCAATCAGAACACCAAGCTCCTTCACATCCCTGCTACTACTAAACCTTACATTTGGGGTTCAGAGCAAGGTAGCGTTTGGGATTCATGGAATACCAATCTTGGGTGGGAAGGAAAGTGTCTCTGTCTGGCATTCGAGTTCCAGAGTTCAGGGTATCTCGGACTGTCCGGCGGGTCCCCATACATCTCCGAAGCTTGCGGACGTGGCACTGCGGAACCCGAAACTCTGAGCTGCGAGCTGAACAATCTCAGCGCCGGAAGCAGCCAGGCGAAGGTCAAGGAGTGGGAGGAGAAGCGGGAGGACATGAAGAAGGCCTCCCTGCCAACTCTATCTGCCATTCCAAACTCAGGCAAGTAACATCGGGGCCAGAATAGGTAAAGGAAGGCACTATTTTTTCATAGGAATTCTTACGTTTATGCCAATAAATCTACTTCTTGCTCAGAGAAGCCCCCAAAAACCCCACTTGAATTATTCAGGCTTTTTCCCCAGCACCTGAAGTCTCTCCCAAGTCCAACAATCTCGGCCGCAAACTGTCCAACTGCTGGTTTATGTAGCTGTCATTCAAACTTCAAACCACTCTAAGACCTAAGACCTAAGACTCCAAGCCCCAAGCCTTAAACCACAAACACCCCAAATCCTGAAGCTTAAAACCCCAAAGCCGATTTCAATTCCCGCGGACGACCACTTCTGGTTTCAGGCAATCCTGGAAGGACTCTCCGAGATCGAAGAGACGCCGGGCGGCCTTTGATGGTTTTAAGGTTAAGTACAGCTGCCCCAAACAGGGATGGAGTCCGGGTTCGCAGATCCCAATAAAGTGCTCTTTGTGCACACCCCCGCACGAAAGATGACGTTATAAAATGTTGTTAGCTTGAGCTTTCTTCGTGCTTCCGGAGAACGGACCGATCATGTTGCGTGATGCATTCACAAGTGTGCGGGCTTATTGATAGCAATTGGTACACCGTCGGCATGGTCTACATCTTAAGCTTAGAAATCTTGAGGAGAGCTGCAGCAGCTATGGACAGAAGATAAAACAAGAAAGTCTTATAGCTGAGGCTCGAAACAGAGCATGTCTTTTTCACGCCAAAGCCTGTCAAGTAAGCGCCCCGATTCCCCTGGGGAGGAAGCAGTACGAACCACTGCAAAACCCTACGAGCCGAAAGAAAGCCCCAGAAGCCCAAACCCCAAGGAAGAAGGCCGCGCGTGACGCCGAGGAGCACCGGACAGGGATCCAGACTGGATATTCAGTAGTATACTGTATGTGAAGATGTTATGTAATACACGAGACGTCATAGTGTCCTGCTGTGTATTGTAACATGTCGTGCCTCTAAGGTGTAGCGTCTCGTGGTGGCATTGTTGGAAAGTTGTTCTTTTTCAGGCTGTTCCTCCAAGGCGGCTGCAACTTGTGGTCTCGGACACTTTTGAATAATGGCGTGTTGCGGGCGTTGAAAAGATGAAGTTTCTGTTTCGGGTGCATGTGATTAAGGCTTCTCTACCGTTCAAGCCAAAGGAGTATTGAGCACGTCATGCACGTCATGTCGGGGTATGCTCAAAAACAGAGGGTGCTGTGAATGCATGATGAGTGCTAGTATTGTTCTGGAATCTGCCAATACTGTCGGGTTTTCCAGCTACGCAGGATGGGTCCGAGAGTTTGTTTGGTCTTCGAGCTTTCATAGACTTGGACGGCCAGGAAGTCCTGATTTACTGTTTCGCGTGCTAGGGTTTGCACTGGAACCGCTGTCCATCAGGACAATGCAGAGGAGAAGGAGGAAGAGAGAAAAGAGGAGAAGGAGGAGGAGGGGTAGAGCGCCCTCCTCCCCAAGCTGGCTTTGGGATGCCGTTGGGACGGAAGAAGAGACGGAAGATTCGGGGATAAGCGAGTCGACCCCGTGGCGCCTAAGAGGAGCGTGAGCATGCTCCAGCCCTTGTTGAGATGATGCTAAGGGTGCCCGGGAACTGCTGGACAGAGGAGGCCGCTGCCAAAAAAGAGCCTGTGGATGCGGGCAGTGGGATGCAGTGGGTATCGGGTGCAGCTGACAGGAGCTCGGGTGTCGAGTGCTTTGGGTCCCAGCATCGGAGATGTTCCATGTTTTGCGTATTCATGGGTACGTGTAAGGTCGGCGCCATGCGCACGACGCCGCACAGTGTTTGTATTTTGGCCGGACACATCGTAGCAGTCATAGAAGCTGCTGGAGCAGACGCACCAAGAACGAGAGAGTCCTCCACAGATCGTGACTCTCCCACGCGGATGTGTGCAACACTTGAAACCCGGAAGCCTCACTGAAAACCACCTCCCGAGAAGAAGCCCCGATGCATTGAATCCAGGGCTTCGGTTCCCTGGCTTAGACTTTGGCGGGCATGGGCTTCCAGGGCCTGCATCAGGAGCCGTTTCACGGGAGACAGCGCCATGACAGCACGGCAGACATTTCAGGAGCGAGTAGAAGACTGACAGCCAGTCGACGCCTTAAAGAAATTTCGCCCGTAACGATGCCGGACAATAGGACAGGAGCAAGACAGGCAGCGACGCGAATACCAAGGCATCCCTTGAAGAGGCGTAGACTACGTAGGGGTCTGTAGCCGAAACCCCAGGCCGTAAATTGTAGCTTGGTGCTGCCCCGCCTTGCCTATGCTTCTGGCCCGCCCGGAGATGGCGATGCCGACGCTGCCACAGCGCGGCGTCACCTTTAAGATCGCGAGGGCCTCGGGAAGGCTTGGAACCCAAAGCCAAATCCCTTCGTATCCTCACGGGGCGGAACCCGCGCCCTGAGCAGCGCTGGCTTTTCCGCTATTGCAGCCGCTTCTCATTCCGTCCAGGCCCGCTAAAAACGTCATCATCTCTTGTCTCGGTCTTCTGCTTCGACAATGCTGCGAAGACGACTCTACATGTTTTGTTGTTTTCCATGTTGTATGCGTTGCATTTTGACAGATACTGCTGCATGCAGAAGGCTTGCTGCATGCAGAAGGCTGGCAATACAGAGCACTGGCAACGTCTGATGAAGTCAGAGCTAAGCTCGTTCTGTTTCATTCAGATGCTGAAGGTCAGACATCAACAGATATGTTACATTGTAGCCAGCCGCAAAGTCTGAATTTGTCATCAAGTCACCTGCATCCGTGATCATGGAGAATGGGAAGTGCATCGCAGAAGCATCAGGACAACTTTCATTGGCCTTGCTGCTTTCAAACCATCCAATGTACCACACTGCGCCAGCCAAGTCTCAACCGGGGCTGGCAAGTTTTCGTCAGGCGCGGACAGCAACCGTAGCTGGACTGGATTCAAGGCCGCTCAGAGGGCCAAGCAGCTTTCACCCTTAAGCCCACACCCTGGATCCAACAGCCTAAGCAACAGTAAGCACAGGTCTGAACCCAAAACCCACAAGCTTTTTCAATCCTCGACCATAAGCTCGAAACCCTGAACCCAATACCCGAAACCTCTCAATACCAAAACCCAACCCCAATGCCTCTTGCTTGGAACCTCTCAGCCGTCGACCATAACTTGCCGAGGATCCCTCTTCCCCAGCAAGCGATGCGACGGGAAGGTCTGGCCCTGCAGCTACGTAAAGTCCTTCTTGTGCCCTACTGGGGTCCTTTAATTGACGATGCTACTCTGTGCATCGGAAACATGGCCTGTCCAGAGAGTGCTCGGGTGCTAAGCTTTTGAAACGTCTTGGAGGAGCCAGCAGGGCTTTTGGAGGTGGAGGTTTTGGAGCGATGCTTTTCGGCTTTCCTGAGGAAGCTTTCGTACGCCCTCGCACACAACACGAGCCCTAACCCGGATCCTGTGCTGAACCCGAAAGCGACGGGCCTGAACCTTACACTACTGTGGACCACAGAGAACTAACGTTTAAACGTTTAAACCCAAAACCACAAACCGTCGCCCGTCAAAGCTGGAAGCAGAGGTCAAGAAGATCCAGCACGATGGACGACAACAGGTTCGAGCTTCCTTCTAGCTCGTGCTGCCAAGTAGCCTGCCAATGACAAGAAGTGCTCGACCCCCTAGTGCACTCGCCTTGCTAGTCCTGTTTCACTGTGTTTTGGAGATGTTGCAGTGATGCGCTTTACGGCGCCTTCAAGATTTTGAGCAAGGCTTCAGGTCGAAAGTTCGGCGGAGGCGGCCGGGTCGGCTCTTCAGCAATCATCCTCCCATTCTGCAAGCATAGTCGTCTGGGCCGCTAGAGTGTTCGTGGGTCGAGTCAGGTGGGAGTCAGGCGTTCACTCAAATTCAGATTGGACTATGGTGTTGAAGGCCTTCTGTGCTTCGAGGATTTCTGTACTGGTTTCAGGGCGCAGAGATTTGGGAGACCGCCTTTCAGAGCCTTGCATTTGTATGTGGCATGTCTATCGTGGGCATGACTCTGGCATGTTGCGGTCTTCGTCTGCCTGTTGCAGCTCGCTGCTGTTGAATGAAGACTTCTGGTATCGTTGTTCAGCACCCATGATGGCAGATTGCAAAGAGGGCCCTCGGCTTGTCATCCCAGAAAAGTGACAAACCGCATTTCGAAAGCCGCCGGATCGGCAAATTGCCAACTCATCTTCAGAATTTTCTTCACGAATCCTGAGAAGGATACTGTAAGTGTGGCGGGTGTGGTAAATCAATCAGTCGAACTTGGCATATATTCCTTGGCCATCCCTGACGCCAAGCATTTATCTCTGACAATGGGAGGAAGTTCGATGCGAAAGCGTTCATGCCGAAGCGAGTCAATGCCGAGATCTCGAGGCACGTCAAGCCCATGAAGCCCTTTGGGAAGACGTAGGAGCTCGATGTCTGACAGAACACGCACGGTTTCAGGTGTAGTTGTTTTGGCATGGCTTTGTTCTGGGTGGTAACCATTCCTCAATGGTTATTGGTTTGGTCACTTTGTTGATTTATCGGACCCTAACGGTAGCTATAATAATTGGCGAGCCGAACGAGCTCCGATGGAGAGTGCATGCAGAGCACTGGTTGCAGAAGCGAACCCTGGGGTGTTCGGATCAGGGGAAACAGAAGCCCTCGATCCAAAACCCTGAGCCCTCCAAATCCGTCAAAACTCAGAGACCACAAATCATGACCTCCAACAGCTCGAACTGCAAGCAGCGTGGTAACAAGGCGCTACGACATCGACAAGAACGAGATCGGCTCGGGCGGTTACGGAAAGGCAGGAGTTAGAGCCTTCGGGTCATGCATTGAGGGTTTGGGCTTCGCGATTACAGGGTGTGGGTTAGTGCTTGCGGTTGCAAGGTTTGGGTTTGGCGCTGCAGGGTTCTTGGCTGAAGTATTTTGGTTCAGGGTGTAGGGTGTGAAGGTTTGGGGGGGGTAGCAAGATGAGTGAATGCTGTACCTTTCTCTGTCTTCTGCAAGTCGACAATGACGTCGTCGACACGGACGATATATCCAGATGACTCTCACAACGATTGGCTGGTGGGCAGATCTTACTGACAGACAGCATCGTTCCAATGCTGTCCCACTACATACAACGACTCGTAGTCCCTACTAAAATGCTGTCAGACCCGAAACCTGGCTGTGCTTCTTTGCCCGCCGACGTACGACCTCATCTGCAGCGCGAGTCGCGTACTGACTGTTGAATGTGTGCGACACGGATGGAAAGATGCGCCTAGAATCCGCTCTAGTTCTTCAACCCCATAGAATCCCAAAATATGTAGGGGCTGCCACGTCAGGTCTTTGTCGCCCGGGATCGCACGATGCGGGATCGGATGGTTGCCATCAAGAAGGCCCGATAGATCCGCAAGCCTGAAAAGCCCAAATATTTCAGTGAAAGGCAAGAGCATCCTGGGTTCTTGTATGGTTTCAATTTACCATGATAGTATGTTTCCTTTCTCATTATGGTATTGGGTGGATGTAACTTTAACTGAGGACGTGAGCAAGAACCCCGCAACAGAGCCTCGTTCATCATGGTCGATGATTTACATAAGCCTCTGGAGCTGGCTTGAAAACAGCACGGTCCCTTTCACAGGGACCGCAAGCAGTCTTATTATGTAGACCTCTCATGCCAAGTCGGCTGAAACTTGAACTTGACAAACCACGAAGACGCTAGCACACCCAAGGTCCAAACCTGGATGCTCAAGGGCTTGCAAGCGGTTTTTGACGTTGCGGTAAATGCTCCGCGTCGTCCGCCTCGGCCCGGTCGCAGTCTCCGCATCACAGCTTCCAAGCGCACAAGGCGACATGTCATGTCGCCTTGTGCACTTGGAGAATGTGGGTTTGGGCACCCCTCAAGTGGGAGGAGGTGGGTGGGCCACCGGGGAGCGGTTAAGGCGACGGAAAAGACGCCACTATGCCACTATGCCTATACCCCAAACATCCCCAACCCTGAACCCCGACCTGTCAACCGTTGTCCGTGTTAATACCTTCAGAGCAAAACGGCAGCAGAGGTGATCATCTTCGAGGACGCAAAGAAGAAGGCCTTCTTACAGGAGGCTCAGATCATGAAGGTCCCGCAAGCTTGCTTGACGGTAAGGTCTGGATAAATGCGGATACTCTTAAGTCTCTGCTTCGGAGCTCAGGAGTTCGTGTTGGATTGCATTGTGACATCGTGGTTGAAGGGTGTCAGATATAGTTTGGGGCCTGAATCTGTAAACGCCTCCGCCCAGGCGCGCGAAGGCAAAGCCTCCACAACCCGACCTACAGTCTCTGCCGCAGCTGTTTTGAAGCTAATCTGTCGTTGTCTTCTCTGCCAGGCATGTGGGGGACCTCCGTCCTCCACATGTGCCTTGCTGCGCCTTGCGGAGCTTTAGGTTATCTGGAGTGTAAGATCCTGGGCTCTGCTTTTGCCAGGATCTGGACCATCCAAACATCTGCAAGCTCCTGGAG